GTCGCGGCTGGGGCTCCAGTAAACGGGGTCTGGCTAATCAAGGCTTGGCTGTGCACTGCCCAAATGTACACACAGTGCAGCTGCCCTCCCCCTGGGAAGAGGCCCACACCCCATGCTGCCACTCATGGAGCCCGCTTGAATTTGCCCCCCCTTCCCCCGCGCCCACCTGGTCTCATGTTATCACAGACTTTCAATGCAGGAACATAAATTTGCTCATGAAAAGAGGCCAGAAACAATGCTAAGGCTTCACCTAATGATGCCTCCTCTAGGACTCTTGATGGAAGGGTATCCTGGGGACCAGAGACTAACCTAGATCTTGGGATACCCTGGACATGGGACAGGAAGACTCATGCTTATCAGTCTCTATTGCCCTGTGTCTTGTGCCCCACTTTAGGCCTTGGATATTACAGATACAGTGTCACAGGTACGCATGTCCATGGAGTAACCATACACCAGAACAAGGAGTTGTCACTGTCACAGGGGGCGAGGTGGGACTGATTCAATGAATATGGCTTTCTTAAAACCTTGCCTTTCCACCTCATTCCTGTCCTCCCGTGGCTCGCCTATTATCACACCTGGCACCACTATGGGCTACTGCCCCACCTGAACACCCCTGGTCTTCCCTTAACTATGAAGCCCACTCAAGACTATGTCTCTGAGATTCTTAGCCTGTCTGCTTTTTATAGCTCCACAGATGCCACCTTCCCTTAAGGCTCTCTGTTCACCTCTCCCACCCCTCACAGCCTTCCTGATCTGTCCTTGATATTTTGTAGCTCTCCCCACTTAGCAGCCAGAGAGATGGTTCTAGAAGGGAGACCCCATCTTTTCTGATGTTCTCTTGGGCCACCCTGATGTTTTACCTTGAGCATATCTATAAGGCCTGGAACACCCTAAAGTCTGCCTACCCTCCCTGGGGAGATGTGGGGAACAGGAACTTTGGGTGAGTACATGTGCACATGCTACCTGTGGGAGAAGTGGTGACCTGAAGGAGGAAAGAGGGTGCCTAGGTCTCAGAACCTGAGACCTGAGAGCTGCGAGCAGGCCCATGAAGCCATGGGAATGGAGAGGAGGTCCAGAAAGCATGCAGGCACGTGAGGAGGTGGAAGGCTCTAGAACACAGATGTGGGCTGTGGTCAGCAGAGACCTGTGACCAGCTCAGAAGCCATTAGATGGAAGGTCAAGGGATACAGGGACCTCACATAGGATAGCTGCAGTGGTGTGTGAGTGTCTTGAAAGGAATTGAAGGAGGGACTCGCGGAGACATAAGCTGCAAGGGCTTGCCTTAAGAGTGGCTTCTTGGCAATGTATCTGTCACTCAGGGGTAATACTGAGATTCCTGTCCCCTCCAAGCTTCTGTCCATTTTAGAGGGCAGTGGATGCAAGGACCTTTCCTGAGAAGATGGTCAGACTAGGTGGTCAAAGGTTGCTCTGCTTTGCAGAGAAGCAGACATCAGGGAACCTGGTTGAGCCTGAATCTGGTTCCACCCTAATGGGTGGGGAGGATAGAGACAACAAAACCCTCAGCCAGGGCCTGCCACGTCTGTCCTTCGATGAGGGGCCCCTCCCTATCTCTTCTTCCTGCCTTGCCCTGTATGGAAGAGGACCACTGTTTCCCCTGGGATGCACTGGGGCTCTGGCCCATATGCACTTCTGTGCTGGCAAATGCAAAAGAATTAGCTCAGCAACTTCCTCCCCCTAATCCCCCACCCCCACTCTAAATACCTTGGAATCAAGAGAAAAGCCAAGTGGACGTTTGGAGCCTAATTCTCTTCAGCTGTGTGTGTGTGTGCGTGCGTGCGTGCGTGCTCTCGGGAGCAGAGGCTTGCTAGGAAACCTTTTGAACCCCAAATGTTAAGAGCTGGAGGGAGCACAAGGAACGCTAGTCCAACCTCCAGATGAGATAAACCAGACACAGAAAGAAGACAAGACCTGCCCTCTGTCACATGAGAACCCAGGCAGAGTCTACCAGGTGCCCAGGTTCTTTGCTTCATCCCCTCCCCTGCAGTCCTGAGCCCCAATCTCAGTGATGTCCACAATTGTGCCCTCAGGGGTGGCCTGAGCTTGGAAAGGACCTAATAATTGTGGTTCCTACCCTGAACGTTGCTGGTGCCCCAGGGCAGCTCCACTTTCCCTCAGCCTGCCTGGCAGCCCTCATCTGCTTCTGGGGCTTCCTGGAGTCCACCCAGCCTCACATGCCACTTTAGCCAAGTCCCACATGTCTCTTGTCTCTTGACGAGACAACAGACCCCTCTCAGTCTTGGCCTGCTTTCTTCTCTGGGTTCCCCTGCAGGAATAGAGGGGGCAGGGGTGGGGGTATGTAACAGGTGCGCCGAGCTGGCAGGCAGCGCTAGCTGATTGACAGCGCCCCATGCGCAGTGAGGGGGTGAGCGGAGGGGTCCATGGGTCTTGTCTGGTGAACCTTTGTCCCAGACAACAGTGACAGTCTTCTTGGCCTGCAAGTCCTCTTCTAAGATCCCCAAGGAGACCTTAGGTGCTGTGTCTACAGAATTCCACTGTGAGTCGGTTAGGACACGGCCAAGGGCCCAGGGTCTCAGGGTTTGAGGTCACAGGCTTATTCAGGGATGGAAGAAAGATAGTAACAAGACAGTAAGTGCTGATGAATCAGCCACTTGTGAGATGTGTCCCCAGCCAGGGGCACAATTAGAATCCAAATCTTGTTAAACAAAAGATAAAATAAAACTCAATTTTTATGATTTTAAATATCACTTCGTAAAATCTTCATCAATACTTTTGTCACTCTTTACTCTGTTTTTAGTGACCTTATTTTAGGTAACCATTCACATCCTTGAATAAAACAAAGCAAGACAAAAAAAATTAAGATAACTCTATGTCTGTGAATGAGGTTAGAGGATCAGCTGGGGAACTTCCCCATCATGCAGCTTACAAAAGCTACACAGGGAATCATAGTTTTTGAGCAAGAGAAATGCCTGTAAGATTTTGAAAATACATCTTTCCAGTGGAAATGTAAGTGCCAATAGGCAGGAAGTCTTGTTTTCATAAAATCTATGGATTCTTTCACATGACCTGCTCTCCTTGCCTTCCTGGAGAGGTGGAAATGGACCATGCCAGGAAGGTGTCCAAGGAAGAGTCTAAACTCCCATGGAAGGCCACCACCAGAGGCAGAGGCCTGGGATGCTGTGCAAGGCTGTGGGGGATACAGAAAGAAGCATCAAGCATTGCCCCATGTGCCTTCAGCCCAATACTCCACTTTTCCCATAGCCTCTCTTCACAGATATCTTATCAGCTCCACGGGGCTGGCAGTACCACCTACATTATACAGTGGGAAAAAGGAGACCCACAGGGATCCTGGTATTGCAGAGTCTGCGCCAGGACTCCAGCCCCTCCCTGTGCAGAGACTAGCAGTGGTCATGAGGATGGGGGCGGGGTTTGCACACCTTGAGGTCAAAAGGGACAACAGGAAGCAGGGCAAAGACAGCTAAGCACCTTCCTGATCAGGCAGGGAAGCAGAGGACAATGTGAGCCAAGCCTCCAACCCCACTGAGCCATCGGCTTTCACTTTTAGAACTCAAATTCAAAGATACAGTGATTAGGAATTTCAAGATGGCGACAGTACAGCATTAAACTTCAAGTGTATGTCTTTCCTGAACACAAGGCCCTGAGGCATTACACTGGCTACTCCTCTTCATCCCGGAAAGGCAGATGACAAAAATTCCAGCTAGGGAGGATGAGCCTTCTCAGATAAATGTACCAACCCCTGGGCCAGTGTGAAGGGTAGTCTCCAGGAGATGTGTCCCCCAGGCTGGCAGGAGGCAAAAGATGACCAAGTTGAGTATTACTCCTGAAAGTCAGAAAGCAGTTTTAGATGCCTGAAAAAAAGACATAATTTTCCCTTCTTTCCTCCAGGCTGAACAACAACAACAAAAAAACCCCAGCCCAGTCACCCTTGGAGAGAGAGAGATTCCTGGCTGTTTTCATAGACATATATTTTCGGCTAAAGCAGTTGAGATGAATGGCCTCCTTGCGTGCCTCTGGTGACGGGATGGCTTGCTCGCTGGGCTGGCTCCAGCCTCCCCCTTCCTCCTCCCTTGTTTGAAGTTCGTCCTGGGTTGGGGTGTAACAACTTTGAGAGCAGACCCAGAGTTCTGCATTCTTTAACTGCTTGTACAATTTGCACAGGAAATACAAACTGCCCCCAGACTTGCTGAACCCCGTGAAGACAGGATTTTTAGGTTTGGTTTGTGGATTTCTCCAGCCTTCACTGCAATGCCTGTTTGCTGGAGTTACAGCAGCCACATAAATAAATGCATACATGCATGGAATAAGTGAACGCATGAATAAATATACGAGAGCAAAGTCAGACACAAGCCCACTTCCAGGGTTAGGAAGAATCAGAAGCAGGGTAGAGATGTTTGAGGTGACTCAGCTGAGCAACTGAGATAAGTGCCCTCCCCCACGCCGGCAGGCACATAGTAAGACAGTCCCAAGACCCTCCACAAAGGCTATTTGTAAAGTAACAATTATGGGGGGCTTAGCAGAGTGCTGGGAGCTCTAGGAATGTGTCTGTCATGGGCACAGACTAGACTGGTTGATGTCACTTTCTGCATACCTAGTCTAGCCAGGCAGAAAGCGCTTGATCTTGGGTGATAGTTCTTTACAGAAGTACCAGCCAGCCCCACCTAACGAGATCAGTGGTTCATATTTGGAGGAACCTATTCAGGTCACGTTTCTCGCTGGGTTAATAGAAGTACAAATGTACATGGCGGGGAGGGGGCAGGGAGGCCACTCGTAGACCCCGGGACTAGTGGACAGGGTGGGGCAAGACATGTGGCGTGGGGCTCACCCGGGCAATCCGAGCCCGGGGGTAGCATGGCGCTCGCTCCTCTCGACCAATGATAGAACGCGGCACGTAGCCTTCCTTCTACCGCCAACCAATACGCGTGGCACTCTATGGCTCTGTGGACCCATCCAATCAGCGTTAGGGTGGACGCCACGTCACGGCAGTCGGGGTTAGGTGGCCACCGCAGTCGCTGGGCAGAACAGTTGCCGCGTCCTTCAGCGCCGCTCTCTAGGCAGCTGCCTTGTTGGCGCTCTGGGGCTAGTCCGAACGCGGCCGCGGTAACGCTGGCTGCGGCACAGGACGCGATCGCAGCGGGCTGAGGTAAGCTGTATCGGTGTCGGGGTCTACCCGGGGGTCGTGGCCCACCCGGGAGGTCATGGCATCGGTCAGTGGCTCGGAGGGAGAAAAGGGTGGGTTTGGGGGGGGGGTCTCCGGGGTTGCGTTGGGATCGGAGTCTGGTATGGAGTCCGTCTCGTGGTTTTTGAGCTACGGGATCAAAGTGGGATCAATCTCGGGTCTGGGGTCAACCTCGTGGTTTCCTGTCCGGGCCGAAGAGAGGGACCCTCTCACGTCTGGGGTCTGCCTGATGGCTCTAAGTTCAAGGGCCGAGCGCGTTTTGACCCATCTTGGTCTTGGGTCTGGAATCTGCCATGAGGTTCGGGGACCCGGACCGACTGGAGATCGGAGTCTAAGAAGTCCACGTCATGGTTCTGAGCCGGGGCTGAGTTGTGTGGCTGGATCGGGGGTCCATCTCATGGTTCTAAGCCGCCTCATGATCTGGAGGGCCAGGAGCTGGGATCTACGCGGCGTTGGGGAGGCCACCGCCTCCACGTATGCCAAGTTGGAATCTGACTTGGGTTTGGAATCCGCCTCATGGCGCGAAGTCTGGGGCCCGGGGTGGGAGCGCGGTGGAGTTGGAAGTCTGCCTTGAGGTTCTCCATGGGGATTTCAGTCCCGGTCTTGGAGTCCAGGCAGTGGTTCGGAGTCTCGGGTCTAATTCTGGGTAGAGGTTAGGGTCTCTGGACTTTGCTAATTTGAATCTGGGTTTTGAGTTGGAGATGGGGTTAAGCGCCTGAGTGGAGATTCAATTCTGGAATTAAAATTGAGGTTTTGAATGTGGGTGGGGATTTGTAGTGGATGAAGTAAAGGGTCTGGATCTCGGTTGGCGTAGGGAACGCCCTCGGTGTGAGGGATAGAAGCAGGAAATAGATATATTGGTCGCAAGTGGATCAGAGGTGATCGAATGGGAGCTAGGATTCATATCTCAGGCCTCTACTTTGACCCTCTCCTTCTTCCCGCGGGTCAAATTGCCTTTTCCTTGAAAAGAGAACTAGAGTGCTTTCCTATCGAATGTTCTGGGCCTCTTGGAACAGCGTAATTCATCCAAAAAGACTACATCTCAGATTACAAAAGTGTTCCTAATAAAAATAGCCATATTTTATGTATGTTTTACCAGTGTCTTCCTTTACCGTGTACCCTTGCTAGACCAAGAGCTCCCAAAGAAGGAACTTTTTTTCTGTCCTGGCTTCTGCCGCGTACCCTACACCCAGCCAAGAGCCTGATACACAGCCTTGCTCAAGCAATACTTACTGAAGGAAAGCAGGCTGGCAGGATTAACCAGATTTCTATGGTGTCTCAAATGATCCCTTTCTGCACCTGTTTTCCAGATACTCACTAGGAGAAAAATTTAAGGATTGGGTTGCTTGATTATAGCTCTATTTTAATGTGTTTCCAAACATGCTGCAGAGAAAAGTGGGTCTGTTTCAGGATTTATGCTCCAGCTAGAAGGATCTTTGTAAATTGTGAATCAGAGCATGTCCAAATTCAAATAAAGAAAGGACAAGAAAAGAAAATTATGAGCCATTTCCCCGATGAACATAGATGCAGCAATTCCATGTACAATGTTAGCTAACCAAATCCAACAGCATATTAAACAACAATTCTTCTTAAACAAGTGGGATTTCTCCTTGGAATGCAAAGATGATCCAATATCAGAAACTCTATCCGTGTAATTCACCATATTAAGAGAATACAGGAGAAAACCCATATGGTTTTCTCTATAGAGGCAGAAAAATTACATGATAAAGTTTAACGCCTATGCATGATTTCTGGGAGTTAGCTGGGAGGATACCGCTTAGCAAGCCAAGACAAGAGGGAATTTCCCTAACTTGATACAATTTATACACCCAAACTTAACCTTTCAATAAACTTAGCACAGAAATCTGAAGTGTAATATTCTCTATGGTAAGGATTAGGTCAGGCTGCCACCTCCTAAGGTGAGAAAAAAGAAATGGAGATGTGAAGAGAAAAAACAAAACAAAAAAACCCCCAGAAAACTGTGTTTGTAGCTAATGATCATTTATCTTTCTCAGGATTTTTAAACATTTTGCTATCAGGACACTTTGTACTCTCAAAATTACTGAGGCCCCGAAAGAGTTTTCCTTAATAATGGATATTTATTGATAGTTACATTTCTAGAAATTAAAACTAAGAAATGTGAACTATACGACTGTACAAGCATGTGTTCCAGCGAGGTTGTGCTGCCTCTGGAAAACTCTTTAACCTCGTGAGAGTGAAAGTAAAGGCAAATGATGTCTGAGTATTATTATGAAAATAGTTTTGACCTTTCCTGGAAGGGTCTGGGTGGGCTCTCTGGAGTCCCGGACTGCCTTTGAATACTGCTGAGCTATGTGAAAAAAAGAAAAGAAAGAAACTTTTACAACTAAAGCAAGATTTCAGCAAAGTTTTACGTATAAGATTAATGTGCCAAAACCGAGCAAACAAATAGTCCCCACATTTCTTTATGCCAATAGTGATTTAAAAACATATAATAGAGATTAAGATAGCAATCAGAGAAGCAACAAAATTTATACCAGGTCTGAGAATAGTGACAAAATTTATACCAGGTCTTAAGAATTAACAAATATGACTTTTATGGAAAAAATTAAAGGATAAAGGAAGATCTTGATATGCTGAGCTACTCCATTTTCTTGGATGGAGTAGTTTAGCGTTACAAAGATGTCAAGATTTTCCAAACTTTTAAATCCTATAGGACTCCACTTACACTTCCATTTGCAGGGTCTGAGGAACTTCACAGATTTTCCTCAAAATATATATGGAAGAAAAAACTGTGTATGGAAGAAAAAGGTATGATACCAAGCAAACTTTGAAAAACAGCTCTCTAAACCTCAGCAGTCAGAATGGTGTGGTGACAGAGGCCCAGAGAGAGCACAGAGGCAGTCCTGAGTCTAGAAGAAGGTGACATGTGATAAAGGTGGCACCACATATCAGCAGGGCTACAGGAAGATGATACTGGAAAACAAGTAACTAGAAACAAATGCAGTTGTGGATTCCTACCCGTGCCCCTAGTAAAAGTGAGCTCCAAATAGAGTAAAGGTTTAAAAGTAAAAAGTAGCTGATATTTGTTTGATAGGAAAAAACTGGGAATGAAAAATATCTTGGCCTAGGCTGGTCTTGGGGGTCTTTAGTAGGACCCAGAGAGCACAAACCTTAAACTTAAAATTTATGAACTTGAATAAATGCAAATTAAGGATTTCTGTGAAACAAATTCATCATGGCAAAGGTCACTATATTCATAACACTGACATAGTTTGCCTTTTTCATTCTCACTCATGAGTGTAACTTTGCACATGACAAATTACAAGACATTTGAAACAACTAAAGCGGATCAGAGAACAATAGCTAATACATATGAGCAGGAAACCCTGCAAACCAGTAAGAAAAAGACAGGAAGATCGGCAGTTTGCAGGAGGGCTAACAAATAGATGAGAATTTCCCAGAGCTCCTCAGTCATCGGAGAAATGCAAATGAAAGTGACAGCTATTTCTCACACTGCAAAGCATTAGAGAATGGGCCAAGGCCAAGCACTGGCAGCAGGTGGGGGCCAAGGTAGGCACAGGCTTTCTGGAGAGCCGGCCAGGGCTTCTTCCTCCAGTGAAACATTTGAGGCCTGCAGCCCCGAAGTTTTCCTCCAGAGTAAACATGTTTCAGCAGCTCCTCACCTCCACCCCTCAGTGAGGGGTTGTCGGGGTGAGGGGGGTGGGGAGAGCGCGGTGGGATGGGGAGGGGGCGGGGGTGGGGCGCTGCGGCTGGCCGCGTTGGGGAGCAGTCACTGTTCCCTGCTGGGGTAAAAGACGTGTACTTCACAAGGTGGAGACGACGACGTGTGGAAACACAGTGCTGAGTGACACCAACACCAAACAGAACAAGGCCCGCAGTCCACGGCTGTGTATTTAAATCAGAATTACGAACCATCCAGACATGCAATACCAGGGCAAGTGCACACACACACTGATATAAATAAATTACTCCGGAGCAGCTGTCGGGGCTGGCGTGGGGGGTGGCACAGGGCTGCAGGGTGGGGGTGGAGTGGAAAAGCATAGAGAGCAGCGACCCTCCCAGGGTGCTGGCGACTTACAGGCTGGGGGCTGTGATCCACTCTGTGTCCTTTACAGCAGAAAACCCCCAAGCCAAGAAGGAAAGAATGAGTGTGTGCCCATCACTCTCCTGCCAGACACCCTCTAGTGGCTTCTATTTCTAGAAAATGAAGTTTTGATTTTGTGAGTTTTTTTTTTATAAGATCTACCCTGACTCCCTTTCACCTACTGCTGCTGCCCTCCTCCTTCACTGAGCTCTGGCCATACCAGCCGTCTCTCATTTTGTTAAGTCAGTCAAACATTTCTCCTACCTCAGGGCCTTTGCATCAGCCACCTGTACCTGGCTTGCCCTTCCCCATGATCTTCCCATGACCGTTTCTTCTCATCGTTTAGTGCTCACTGGAAATGCTGCTTGTCAGGGAAGCCTTCTTTTTGACCTGGCGCCACATCAGTCAGCCCCTGTCAGTCAGTTACTTGCTAGCTCAGTCTCTGCAAAGCATAGGCGACACTATGGTATTTTCTGGGTCCTCAGGCGTCTACTTATTTGTTGGCTGCCTGTCTCCTCCACCGGAAGAGAGGCCCCATGAGAGCGTGTCTGTCTTCTCTATAGGGTGGGTACACAGCGGGTGTGTCAAACATTTCTGTTGAATGGCTTCATTGATTTGTGGAATGAATGAAGAGGCCAGGCCAGGAAAGTGTTCATCCATTTTCAGAACTCAGTGAGAAAGTAAGCAGTATGTCAAAATCTTCGTAGCCCCTCAGGCCAAAGCTTCTTAATTGCCACACTGGTGACATTTGGGGCAGGAGCAGTCATTGTCGTGGTGGGGGGAGGCTATCCTTTGCATTGTAGGATGTTTACAGCATGAATGGCTTTTACCTAGGTGATACTTCCCCTAGTTGTGTTAACCTAAAATTTCTCCAGACGCCCAGCCAGGTGAAGATCATTGTCTTAGGACAATGGTGGCAGGCCTATAACCTGTGGCATGCATGCCACAGCTGGCTGTTTGTTATCATTGAGAGCTCTAAAAGGGTCACTATCGCTGTTAGGACTATCTCTAAGGCCTGGGAGAGTCTCTGCTGTGGTCCTTTAAATGCAAGCATTTCCTGGCCCCCTATCCTGCCATATCCAATACCCACAGCCTCAGCCTTACCATCCTGGTGAGAAAGGGCCTAGCCAGCTGTGTAACTTGCAATAGACAGGTACCTCCAGTCTGTTAACCTTGGGGCTTTAGCTAGGACTGTCTTGTGGCTGCAGTTCCTGAACTGTTTATAGCATCAGCTCCTGAAGCTTGACCGGATTGGAAGGGACCTGGGCCCTCTCACCTCCTCCGGTTGGCACAGACTGATGAGTGAGTGGCTGTCCAGTGGTTTGCAGTGTGCTCCAGGAAGAAAAAGCAGCAGGTTGGCCTCCTAGCAGCCAGGGTGGGAAGCGTAAGGTGGCAACCTTTAATACTGTTTTTCCTTTCCCCATGGCTTCCCATCAGCCTTTGCCACACTTTTCTGTATTGCCTGGACCTTGCAGATCTGGGTCACCCACCAGAACCTGATCTATACAGGGCTCCAGGCAAACTAGACAGGAAGGCTCCCCATGATGTGCCTCCACTTTCCAGCCACTTGTGGGTCTCTAGGTCTCTCTCCTAGCCTTCGGCTAGGGCTGGTGAGGGCCTTGTTTGCAATTTAAATGTAGTCTTCTTTATGGAGGAATCCCCCGCTCCTCCGAAAAGCTTTGGGCTCTCCCTCCCAGCAGCCCCGGCCTCAGCCAGGAGGAGAAACTGATCTAATAGGCCTTTTTCCCTCTAATTGTAGCAATTAGCATCAGAGAATGGGGACTCACTGGGGGGCCAGTGCCTGGCAAACAAGCCTGTCCCCAGAGCTCGGCCCAGGCCCAGCTACTCAGGCTGCTGTCCACGCTGCCCATGCCCTCACCAGACTCTGGATGGACCTCAGAGATGGACGCAAGTGAAGCAGAGAGGGCCAAGCCCTGTTATACGCCAAGGATGCTTTATAGCAGATGTATGCTGACACAGGTAACTCTGAGCTTTGTCATGTGACCCTTCTGGTAGCGGGTCAGACTGCAGCACAGGATCAGACCAGGTCTGTGTATGTGTGTGTTTAGCTCAGTGGCCTAAGTGCCTGATTGGCAAATGCGAAGTCATGAGTTTGATCCCCGGTATCAGAAAACAAACAAACAAACAAAAAACAACAACAAAAAAGAAAAGACAGGTAATAATCTGAACCAAGTAACTTTCATAAAGAGCCATTCCCATGGATGACTAGCAGGAAGTTCCTGACAAGGCATGCCACGTGCTGAGTTCCTCAGTTCATGCCACAGCGGACTTCAAACCAGCACGCTTGCATCTCTACTACACAGTACTTTCCCAAGCAGTAGATTATGTCTGGGAGGCAGGATAGGGATCATCCCCCCATCTTATAGGTTAAGTCATTTAACAAACATTTGTTGAAAACTCCTCATCATCAAAACCTGGCTCAAGCTGGAGGAATTTAAAAGGAGCAAGGACCTGCTTGCCCTGGTGGGGTTTGTTGATGAGAAACAGGAGAAAGATCGACTCCTGTCTAAAAAGGAGTTGGGGGTTCCAGGAGCTCTCTGAGAGAAAACGAGGAGGCAGGACAAGGGCTGCAGGCAACAGGCTGTGGAGGCAGAAAGAAACCAGGCCTCTGAGCCTGGAGAGGGAGTACTTAGGCCCTGCTCCTGCCAGGCGCCTTGGCTTGGGCTGAGGCCTCTAAGTGCCATCAAAGGTCTTGGACAGGGATCCAAACTTTGAAAGGATTTTTTTCTGTTGAGAGCAGAACGATGTGGATTTGTCAGGTAGGAGGCCACTGCAGCACAGAAAGAGCACGAGCATGGAGGGAAGTATTGAGGGGTGAGGTCAGCCTGGCTGGGTGACATACTAGAAGGGGCAGCCAGGGGGGAGGGATTGGGAATGATTCAGAGAGCTGCTGGGGGAGTGGGTGACCATTAGGGGCCTTTGTTGGCAGAGAAGCTGAGTAGGGTGGAGTGTAAAATGATGGAAGCTGTGGAGAGGAGCGAGCGTGTGTGTGTGTGTGTGTGTGTGTGTGTGTGCGCACGCGCGTGCTCGGGTGTAGGCCTGGGTTCATCTGGGCTGCAGAGTTATTTGGGGGTCTCTGGTACCGAGGGGAGCAGTGCAGGGAACCAGTTGGGGTGAGACTGAAACAGGAAGGGCAGAAAAGAAGGTTTGAGGACACAAAGGAAAACTGCCTGGCCCAGGTGCTCCTGATTCCCTGAGCACCGGCCTAAAAAGGGCCTGCTGGAATGTGCTGTGGGCCCCGGCCTTTCCCGGGTCACACAGGAAAAGCCCTGCTCTAGGTGAGTCTCCCGCCCTCTTCCCTTCCCTTTCCCTTTCCCCCAGTGCTCTAGGTAGCACAGAGGACCTTGTGCACCAGTGCAGGGAGGCAGCCAGGGCAGCTCCCTCGGGGAGGCCTCAGCCTCGCTGAAGTATTTCATAATCTTGGAAGGACGGAAAATCCCCCCAGTTTTAACACAAAGCCAGGCAGGCTGAAAAATGGCCTTGAATTTGCAGAGATGAAAAAACAAAAGTCTATCAACATTAGAGATGGGAGGGAGCAGGGAGCTTTGGTGGATCCATGAGAGTAGTAGTTCTGGGTTTCACCACTCAAACCCGGAACCTAGGCAGAGGAGGGCAGATTGGGGGTACAAGACAAGGAGCAGTGCTTTCTGGTGGGAGATGCTTTTTTTTTTTTTTTTTTGGCATCTCTCCTGAATAACAGTACAAAGAGCTTCCAGAGTCTCAAAAAGGGTTAACTGCAGATCCTCTAACTCCTCCACTTGCTAATTTTTAAATGCAAGCTGAGCTTTGAGTGCCCCTCCTGGAAGGCTGAGAAAGGCCAGAGGCCGGCAGAGACTCTGCACTGAGTCTGTGAGCCTCCACCCCCAGTGCAGCCAGGAATGTGAATGCTTTTGGAGAAGGGCACCTCCATTCCCTCCCTCACCCAACATGTTCAGACGCCTGAGCCAAGACTTCATCCCCGAGCTTCTGTCCTCCATCCAGGGCTGAGTGGCTTTGTTAACAGACGAACGTGACTCCCAAATGAACCTTTGAGATTGGCTTAATGGAACTAGCAGAACCTGGATGAGAATCGTGGCTCAGGCCCCTGTGCCCCTAAAGACATATATCAACTTCCATCAGCGGGAGGGCGGCCATCAGGGAGCCAGAGAGCTGGGAAGAGTGCTCTGCCTTGGACCCTCTTTTCAGGCCACACCCAACTCAGGGCTCAACCCCCACCCTCAGCCACTCTAGCTTCTGAGAGACAGGGCCTACATCTACGTGCACTGACAGGAACACACACAACCAGACACACGCCACGCATGCATCCTGCTGCCTGCCAGAGCCAAGGTTTTGTCTCATCTTCACGTTGCTTCTTGTCTTCCTCAAAGTCCAGCAGCACCTTCTGAGGCATAAGTCACAGGATGCCCGAGATCTCACTGGGCTTAAAGGTTCTTCCTGATGTCTCAGAATCTAGCCTCTGGTCTCATCCTAACTCCAGTCCAGTCCCTTGGGATCCCAGCTCTTCTCAGGGAGGACGATAGCCCTCCTGTTTAGGCGCTTGTTCTGTGGTAGAGTCCAGCACTCGCAGTGCTTTCCCCCTAAGTGCTGCTGGGCATTGTGGACTTCAAGTTTAGTGAATGGGTCCCCCCTCCCCCACCCCAAGCAGATACTAGGCATTGTAGCTAAGAGCAGCTTAGCTGGAGGAATGACATGCTTGAGGCCACTGGGGCTTGGGCACTTGAGATGACAGAACCCAGCCCTCCTCCTCCATGTCTGGGAAAGGGCTGGGGAAGGGTATTCTGCCTCCAGACTCTGGCAGAGGGAGTCTTTGTCGTGTGTGTGTGTGTGTGTGTGTGTGTGTGTGTGTGTGTGTGTCCAGCAGAAGCAGGGTGGGTAGGGAAGAGAGGCAGGGCCCTTTCAGTGCTTACCTGCCTTTTTAGTATCTAGAGGAACCTGGTCATGTGGGTTTGGGTGCTCAGAGATGTCACAGCTGGGTACTTGGACCATAAGTCACCCTCCCAAAGCTATGCTCCCCTTTTTGCCTGGGCATGAAATATCCCTAGCGCCTCTTATAGACCAATGGTTCTGAGTCCCTCGCACCTTGCTTTACCCAGGGCAAGTGGCAAGCTGCTTCTAGCAGCCACTCGCCCTCCTGTCTTCCTCAGCAAGCCACATACCCCCTCAGCTTCTGCTAGCTTGTTTTGTCACTAAAATGTCTGGATCACTGCTAAATGGTTTCCGCTTCGTTGACTTTTCATTCTGTCCTCCCTGTGCTGGCCTTGTGCTGGGACAAGGGGTTGGGAAGACTGTAAGGCAGGAGCCCCACTGGGGCTCTCCACAGGTTGCAAAGAGGGAGGGTCAAGTCAGGGGCTCTAGGCCATCACTGCAGACAGTGCCACCCTCCTCTCCAGTTCTCCGTATTTCCCAAGGGTGGGCTTCTTCCCATCCTCAGGCATCTTCTTTCCCAAGGTTGCTTGAGAAGCCTTAAACTTTGGGGGGTGGGGAGAGCATCCTAAGGGTGGCATTGAGTCCCAGGGTCAGGGTGGAGATTATCTGTGCAGAGGCTGATAGGAACATCCCCAGGGCTGACTTCAAAGCTGCTGCTGGACCAGAATCTTAGCTTCAAAGTCAGCCAGCTGAGCTATTTGCCTGTAAAAGTGGGGGAGGGGAAGAGCCTGCCTCCCAGCCACCTGAGAGCTCAGGGTCTCAAAGGCCTTCCTGGGTTGGCTTTTGACTGGAGGGCACCACCCTACCGCCAGGCACTGGAGCCACTGGAGGAGAGAGGTAACAGACTCTCAAAACACTATGGGAAGTCACCACTACCGCCCAGGGTTCTGAGCTTAGAATCCAAGATGTGGTAGGGATGGGCCCTGTAAGGTAGCTCTAGCCGCAGCCCAGCTTCCTACCTTGTTGCCTGACCTTCTGCCCAGCTTCTCCTCCAATGCTTGTTTGTTGGTAGGCCTGGCTGATCATGTGCAGGTGGAGAACATGTAGATTGGTCTGGTGGAACAGTATAGTAGACCAAATAGTAGTTCTGAACCAGGCTGCCTGATACAGATTCCAGGTCCAACTTGATTTAGGTGTGTGTTGTGTTGAAATGAACAAGGGCAGGCCCATAGGGTGAGGTTCCACATTCACGCGAGTGCCTGGCCCTATCAGTAGCCAGCAAGCCTGGCCACAGTGCCACTGTAGTGTAGAACTGTGACACTGGGCCCACTTGGCCAGTGCAGAGCAGCAAGAGGGAGCCAAGGCCAGGGTTCTGCTGTGAGTAAGGGGAGGCCGGGGTCCCGTGCCTGCACAGAGGGCTAGCAAAGGGTGGCAGTTGTTGGGGAAGTTCACCAGACATGGCAGGAAGAGTCCCCCTACCCCACCCCCCGAGGCTGCACATTTGACATACTTGGATTTTCATTTTCCTTGTCTAAACAGAGGCCTGTCATGGCACCTCCCTCCCAGATCAAATAGCCCTGTGTGAGTGAGCTCTGGTGGACCTTCTTCCATGCTCTCCACTGGATCCCCTGCCTGACCCCAGCACATTCAGGTCTCAGAAGCTAGGACTCCTCAAGCAAGTACCACCTGAGCTCAAAAGTGTGCCGATTCCTCCCACACATAGAAAACATCAAAGGAAAGCCTCAGGCTGACCCCTACTTGGGGGAGAAGTACAGCTCACAGCCTAGCCTGCCTAGCTGTGGTGATTTTCCATCCCACCAGGACTCTGGCATTTGAGGCTCTTTGGGGACCGGGGTTGGGGCTAGAGCACATAAATGCAGCAAAGGATGACTAAGGAGCATGGCTCTTTAGGAGTCCACCCAGGTGACTTGTGAACTGCTGGCTTGAAATCCCAGGACCATGCATAGCAGAACAGTGTATACCTGGGCTCCCTGAGAACTTGCTGGCCAGTGGAGGTCATGGTTTTTGCAGGAGCCTGAGAAGAATGGAGAAGGGATGCTTGCCTCTCCATCAACTATACATCTTTGAATGGGTTACCACATGGGGCTGAGTTGGGTACCTCGGGGAGTGGACTGCACAGAGAGGACCAGTCCTAAAACCCACATGTCTGGAACAGTGCTCCTAAACAGTCTACACCTACACAGGCAGCCCAGGCTTATCCAGCTACCCCAGACCCTGCTCACAGTCCTCAACAAAAGCCCTATGAGGCCTGGGAATTCAGCATTTCTCAAAACTGAGAAATATGAAGCCCAGAAATGGTGGGCTGGATGGATCTGTGTTTGAAAATGAATGGGCATCTTAGGGCAGTACTGGCTGGGAGGTAGGCTTCCACTTAGGCTTTTGGCTTTCATTTGTGCCTTATGATCCGAGCTGATGCTCAGAACTCGCTAAATGCAGTGCATAAGCTGAGGGTTGTTTGATGTACTTATACTTGGGGAATCTAATGTCACTCCTTAGTGTCCTTGTGCCTGCCAGCTTTTGGCTCTAAGCTCTTGCTTCTGCCTCAGCACCCCGGGCATGTTTTACTCCTTGCTTTTGTTCACTAGATAACACAGTGCACTGTGGGCCAGAGAGACCTCATAGATCTGGACTGGACTGCCTTTTGTCTCCAGGCTGTTCACTGGGCAGACACACATCAAGAATTTCTGTCCAGAAAATGTGGCAACTCTGAGTACCTTTTATTGTTTGGGGGCATGGGCAGGAGGGTGCCTGCTCTCCACCTATGGCTATGAGCCTTAGGTATCTAAGGCTTCTGGTCACATCCTGTTTCTACCAATAAATCCAAGCAAATGCACTCTTCCCCCAACCTGGAGCTGGTTAGGACTGGCCAGGAAGCATGCAGAATTGTCTAGGGTCTGGCAGGAGTGGGACAGTAAGGAATGTTTCTGTACAGTGAAGGACTGGGCTGGATGGATCTATGTTTGAAATGAATGGGCATCTCAGGGCAGTGTTTGTGCACTGGCCAGGAGGTAGGGGCTTCTCCACTTTGCTTTATTGTCTGTCATAAATCTCTCTGCTTCTCCTCATCAGTTTGAAATGTTTATTCTGAATTTAAGTCCTACTCTTTAGCAAGTCATGTTTTACAGGAAAACCATCACGGATGGAATCATGCAATTCCTATTTGTTTTTTTTTTTTCAGTTACTCTTTCTTGAAGAAAGCTTAACTAGGTGAGCAGCCAGAGTCCTAGGAGCTGACATTTGCAGGCAAAAATGGAGGCACAGTGGCCTCATGTTTGCAAGGAAAACTAGGCCCCTGTGTGTCTGGTCTTGCAGACTAAAATGCTATTGCCTAGACTCAGACTGACAGGTTCCGGTGGCTGGGGACCCTCGTTCCACCATCACCTCCAGCCCTATCACCTGCTGTGTACAAGCCCTCACTAGGGAACTTTCATCAAGTGCTGGCACATTCCTAACATTGGCCTGGCCCCCCACCTCCTGAGTTGTGAGATATGTGTCCCAGGAATGAGAAAACTTGGGCTGTGGCTCATGACAGCCTTGTCCTTCAGCAGTGGAAGAAGCCTGCCTCCCTCCAGAGGGCAGAACCAGCACTAGCCAGTAAGGGAGGGTGTCTGAACATGCAGCCTGTGGCAGGAGGACGCCTGGCCATACTGAAACACAGTCATGTGAATAACTCCTTAAGTGCCACCATTTTCTGTCTGGGAATGTCTGTCCCAACCCTTTCGTTTTTTGAGCTACAAAAACTAAGAAGGCCAGCATGAGGCTGTGAGTTCTATTTCCGGTTTAAAAAAACAAAAAACTAAGAAGGTCTGAGAAAGATCATACAAATCACTAAACTTTATGGTTACCTGGATTTCCCTACAGTGACAACAGAAAGAATAAGCTTAAGGGGGTGAGACTTGTGACCAGATACCTGCTGATAGACTTTAAATCCACTACTTTGGGATGAGAGTGGGGCGGGGGGGCCTTGCCAGAGCTCTGAAACACTACTACCTTTCAGATCTGCCTCAGGCTGTCTGGAACCAGCAAGCCTTCATGGAACCCGGGCCTGGGCCTGACTTCTGCTGACCCTAGCATAAATCCTTATTCACTCGTTCATCTGTTTCTTCATCAAACATTCACTGAGGGCTTGTGATGGGCTCCATAGGGATTAAGCAGCGAAGATAAAACATTGAATAGAAATGGCCAGGCTCTGCCCTTGCGGACTTTGAATGTGACTGAAAGAGACAGATGGTAAGTCCTTCTCCACAAGCAAACACGCAGTTATACATTAAGGATGGGAGGGAGGTGTGCATTCTTCATGGCCCCGTCTGAAGCTTAGAATTTGGCTACTCTAAGGAAGCGACCTTTCAGCTAAGACTGGCAGGATAAGTCAGCCCCCACCTGGGAAGGAGAGGGAGGGTCAGGAAAGAGATTGACATGTTTAGAAATGATACTGAGACAATTCAGGAGTTGTGGCATCTTCAGCAGCTTTATTGCTCTCTGGCTTTGTGACTCTGGGCCCTAAACTTAATCCCTTAAGTCTCAGGCTGATATCTCTAAAACTGAAATGATAATATCTGATGTCAAAGGCTGCAGTGAAGATTAGCAAAATGATGTTTATAGCTACTCAGCACAACGGCTGGCAAACAGAATGTAAGTAGTATTATCTCAGGATTATTCTTGAGACTAAAAGTATGTTCAGGGCCTATGTATTTTCTCTTCACCTGAGCAACAGAGCTGGGTCTCCTTAGGAATAGCTAGATGTAAGGAGCACGGATGAAAGGACCTTAACTTTCAAGGAAGCAGGGAGTGCATGTACCCTGTTCCTTCTGTCCCCTGGGGGCTGTTCCAGCCTGGCACAGTAGTTGGTCATAACACTGAGCAAATGAACAGATAGTTGGGCAGCATTGGCAGATGCCTGGGCTTTACGGGTGAGGCAGCAGCCTCTGTATCTGTGTTCAGGATACTGTACTGAATTTTCTGGTTTTATTAAGCACCAAAGGCCTCGATCCACCATGCATCAGCTGGTGGGGCGAGGAGGGGGTGTCATACAGTTTAGACCAGAGCTGCCCTTCATTGATCTGAGATCACTGTGTGTTTGCACACACTCAGGTATATAGGAGAAGCACTGCTAAAAACCTCCAGAAAAGGTTGTTTTCCTAGTAAAGGGTGTGCTCCTTGCAGGCTGTTGACCAGCTCAGCGAGGACTAGTTTGGCTTTACCACGCCCCACTTTCCATTTAGAGAGGCTGAGGCCATTAAGGTCACCGGGTCTTACTTTCTCCCAGAACACTCACTCAGATTCCCAGTCTTTGTCTTCAGTCACCTCCACTCCAAGAGCCTCTTTCTACACAGGGTGAGCAGGCAGCCATACAGAGGAGACTAGAGGCCCTGATTTGGAGAGACTGTGAGAAAATCAAGCTCCCCTCTGGGAAAGGAATGAATGCCCAAGGCTGGCCCCATGACTCTTAAGCTCTTCCTTAGGTCACTTTTGAATCTCTGCATCTGTCCTATGTTGAGGTCACTGGCCTGTCCCCATAAAATATAAATAACACATTCATGACTTTTTCTAAATTTCTTAACATTCTTGAAATAGAATTGAATTTTGTCACAGGACTTTTTTTTTTTTTTTTTGTCTTTTTGAGACAGTGTCTCACTATGCAGTTCAAGCTGGCCTAGAGCTCGATTTGTAGTCCAGGTTGGTCTTGAACTCACAACAATCTTTCTGCCTCAGCCTCCTGAGTGCTGGGATTACAGGCATACGCCACCATGCCCGGCCACAGGATATTTTTTTCTTCTTTTCTTTTTGGCTATTTTAAACTGATCATGTCATTAATGAAATCTCCCAGAAATCTCTTTTTGGGCTCCAGTTCCCCTGGTGTCCTAATCTGATAAGGCTAGCATAATGGAACACATGCCCAATTCACCTGTGATAGCCACAGCAAAAAAATTTTAAATCCAGAACCTTTAAAAATTCTGCCCTACATAAAGTCATACTAGGAGTGCAGGGGTCCACACAACAACCTGGACAGCCTCCAGGGAATTGCAGTGTGAATCAGCCAGTCCCAAAAGATGACATGCTGTATAATTCCATTTATATAACACTCTTGGCATGAAACAATTATGTAAATGAAGAACAGACTAGTAATCGTCAGGGGCGCAGGACAGATTGGGATAGGAAATCATGGGGAGTGTTGCTAAAGGGCAGTGTGGAGGGTCTTTAATGCCTGTGTCCTAGTCATGATATGTCCTATAGCTTTGCAAGATGCTGCTGCTAGGGAAACTGAGAGAGTGCCCTGTGTTATTTCTTACAGCTTCATTTGAGTCTGCAACTACCTAAAATGAAAGAGTTTTTAAAAAAAAAATCATAATCCCCAAGTATAAAAAAAAAATCTCAAGAACCCTGAAATTAATTTTAAAATGTAAAAAGTAGAGGAAGATCTAAACAACAACAACAAAAAAGAAAGGACACTATAATTTATATGACCACATGGATTAATTCCTCAGACTTGTGGCTAGAAAAACGTCTATTTTTAAATAAGTAATTCTTCTAAATTTATCAAAATTCAATAAAGATTCAGTAGAAAATAACAACAACATATGAATGGATATGCATACTTTTTTAAAAAATTAGGCACAGTGATTCTGAAGTTTATGCAGAAACAATTACAGGCCCAGAACGGTTACAGCGCGGCCCCATACCCTTCCTGGTCTGGTTTGAAAATCCTCATCTCATAGCTGGGGCTGTTTCCCCTCATTGTTCACAGCTTCAGACAAACATGGTGAGAAAGGGAGCAGATTTCAGATTATCCATCCATCCTGAATATCTTAGAAAGATGCATTTTCAATATTGTTTTCCTGATAGCGATGCTACTTACCCAAATTTGCTTCCCCTCTGGCTCTTAAGTAACAGACCAGAGAAATCCTGCCACAGATAAGGATGTTGTAAAGTTGCCTAATGAAATAGCTGGTCTCTGGCTTGTTCCCAGACCTATTCCCAGGCCAGGGCAGTTTAGAAATGGACACAAATTAAATGAGAGTTTGAGATATGATAAAGGTAGCAGTTGAAATCAGTGGAAAGAAGATGATGTGCTCAAATAAATAGTGTTGGGACAAGTACATAAACATATGGAAAATAAATTGGATTTAGTAACTCTTTATACCAAAATCCAGATAAAGCAATGATTTAAATGTGAGGCATGAGATAAAAAACATGATGGAAGAAAATGTGGGAAAAGTTATTAAAACAACCTCAGAATGAGGAAGCTATTTCAAAATTTCAGACCATAATCCCTAATCATAAAAGACTGACGGAGCTGACTATGTGAAATTTAAACATTTCCACTAGTAAAGATATAGAAAAAGCTAACAGACCAAAGAAAAAAGTAGGATGAACTATTTTGAAAACATGTGACATAGAGATATCCTGTGAATCAGTAAGAAATAAACAGTCCAAGAGATATGAAGGGATGGCTCATAAAAAAGAAAATGCACGAGTTTTAATCTTCTGAGAACTTCGCTTTGAACAAAACATTCCCAGTAAATTAAAGCTTCAGTGTACCATTTTTTCGCCTATCAAACTTACAGATAAAAGTCATGATTGTATACTAGTTGGTGAGGGTGGAAGGCAATAGGTATGTTTATATAATGTTCATCATGGTACAAGTGGGCACAACCTTTACTGTATTTGGCAATACCCATCTAAATGTGTACAAATAATCTAATCTCTCTAGAAATGGGGGGAGAACCTCTTACAATGAGTCCACTATAGTGAGGACCAAAATGTTACAATAAGCATATAATGAAAAGCAATACTTATGAAACTACTTTACATACAGTAGAGGTTGTCATAATTGCAAATATGTAGTCATTTTGGGAATGCAACTAAATAAGAGGAGCTGGTTTATTTTGTAAAGCATAATATGGTAATGTTCCAGGCCTCTTTGACTTGATAAGTGACTCTGGCAGCCCTTGCACAGAGGACCACTTAGAGAATATTACAGGACTTCCTAGCTTCTCCAAGGGGCTATGCTGCATTTTTCATGATCTCTTGTGTTCTCTGTTGAAATGCATATCCAGGCATTAGCCCTGAATTTTTTTTTTCCCCAATAACTGGTCTGTGTCCACTCTCCACTGGAGAAATTCTTAAATATTATGTTCCTTAACTTGATGAAACCCCCAATTTCGGCAAGTTTACCATTCCTCTTTATAAGTAGTTCACATTGTGTGTACTTTATTGTCTTTACTGGACAAGAAACAGCCTGGAAAAAGATTAGTTAACAGAGATGCAAGTGGGGATAAGATGGTTGGGGAGAAACAGTGTTCCGTGGAGAGCTAATTTCAAAGGGAACTAATTTCATAAATGGTCGGCTCATTAGTGAATATATTTGAATGGTTAATGGCTATTTTTAGCCGCCCTATACATCCATCAATAGGGGAGTTGTTCCATAAATCATGGCACAATAGAAAGCTCTGCAGCTGTTAATGAAAAGATTTGCTAGATGTCTTAATATAGATCCTTCTCCAGAACACACTAGCATCTTTGCTTTCCAATAGCACACACTGGTGCTGAGTGCTTACCAAGATGCGGGAGGGCTCTCCAGTCAAATCTGAAAGGTTTCATTACAGTGTGGCCTCTGTGCCTAACACACTGGCAGTCACTCAATTCTCAAGCATTCTGGGGATGCTTCATGCCACAAACCATCATGCCCCCTGGTCCCTGTGCGAAGAGCTACTGGCCATCTCCTGCCAAGCAATGTGTCAGTGCTGCTATTTGAAATGCCCAAGGCCTTAATGAACTGCTCCTTTGACTCTGAAGAGTCCCACCCGTTTCCTAAAGGCCTCTTGTATTCCTGAACCTGTTTAGAGCCCTTCCACACTACCACCTACATGTCTTGGCCATGCAGTGGAGGCCCAACTTTTGCTAGAAATGGGGTGGTTAGAAGGAAGCAGGAAGACTACAGGTAACAACCTGAGCAGTGAGCATGTCCTGTCTAGGAAGAGTCCAGCCTTGTGGCTACACATCTGGCAGAGATCAGAGGCCGTGTTCCTCACAGAGCACACTGGAAGCCCAACCATGGGAGCGCAGTACTTCATCCACCCTGTTCAGAGCTGTCACCTATCCTTATTAGTGGCTTTCTGTATAGAGGTGCCCAGGTAGTATTTGGAAAGAAAAATGCTTCTCAGCTATCCTGCACCACAGGAAATCATTATTGTGTAGGCAGCTCAAAAAGAAGTACAGTGTACCTATGTGGGAAGTCACAAAGCAAATACAAAGAAATACACATATATGGATCATGTTACTATTGGCATGAAAAGAAGAGAAACATAAGTGTATGCACACGCAGATATACATGCATTTGCTCAAATAAAATCCCTCTAGAAAAATCCAGTACGAAACTGCCAAAAGTGGTAACTTGTAGGGAAGGAAACTTGGGAATCCGGATAGGACAGTCTCAATTGTCACTGTATTCTTTTTTGTACTCAATTTGTGCTATCAGTGCTTATGGCATGTAAAGCTTATTTTAGTATGATTTTTGAGCACTGCACTGGTCCACTAAGAATGGCTTGCTCCTCCCCAGTGTGGCCAGGGTTTGCCAGGCTCTGGGTGGATGGTGGGTAGCCCTCAGCCCTGTGAACAGCGTGGATGGCACGCCTTGTGAGCAGCGCTCTCCATGCACGGCACTGAGTCTGGTTCCTGTCACTCGGTGCAGCGGGAGCTGCTCCAGCACAAAGAGGTATTTGAAAGGGAAAAGGCAGAGCCAGCTTCAGGGCAGGCCCTGGGCGGGTTCTGGAGAGCCCTGCCACCCTGTGCTGGGGGGTGGCACCCCTACCTCATCTGTACAGAATGGGAGGCTCTGGCAAAATGAGCCCCAATACTAGGTCTCCTTGCTATAGGATTTTGAGGGGAGTGGTTTTGAAAGAAAGGAATGAGCACAGCATGTCCTGATTGCTGTGTCTCACTAAATATTTAAGTTTTTATGTAACTTTTTCCCGTTTTCAGTAATCTTGGATTTTGGTTAATGTGAAATGACAACAAACAATGTATTTTTTAATTGATTTGCCTCATGTCTATTACTTTAAATGTTTTCTAATGCCTAGCCACATCTCAAACTTATTTTTTTGTAACTTAACTTAGATTCTGCTCAACATTCATGTTTTAAATTGCCCAAATGCTGCTTTGGGGAGGGGTGAGTTATCTTCACTACTGAAACAGCTCCCTTGGGAGCTGGCTTGGCGCTGGCTCTTCTAGGGAAATGACACAAAGTTGATCTAAGAGGGGCCCTCACCGCTCCCCACTGCAATGCTAACCCCAGCAGGGGGGAGGGGAAAAAGAGTCCATGAGCCTGAGCTTCCCTCCAGGCCTACCCATTCAGGACATGCTGACACTCAGTCTCTCTGCCCTTGGCTTCCCCGTCCCCCACCTGGACTCTGGCAGAGAAGCTAGGCGGGAAGCAGCTAGCCGAGTGCCCGCCACTGTAAGAGGAAACGAAGAGAAACAGCTCCAGGCAGCCCCAGAAGCGAGGCCTGGAAAAACTCTGCAGCTGGAGCTAACACAAAGGACTTTTCAGACCCTGCAGCCAAGGTGCCCAGTGAGCATTTTTTTTAAACAGCTATTAGGGTGACAAGCCTTTCCAAAGGCCAGCAGTTGGCAAGAGTTTCCAGGAAGCTGGTCTGGCACTGGGCTGGGATCGGAGCAACTTTAATGAGTGAAGTTCAGAAGGAAGGAGTCATCAGGAAAGGTTTAAGGTTCAACAAACTTTTCGAATTATTTCGCAAAAAGTTCTGGCTTTCTAATTCCCGGGCATGTTTCACTCTGGTTGTTTCAAACCACCAGAGCCTATTTCACAGTCAGTGCCACCTGCATGTTGCTGATACAGTCACTAGAGGTATTTGTCTAACTCCCAGGGACGGCTTTGCAAGTACCAGCCGGCGCCTAGGAACAGTAGGGTCATCTCATCTTGTCAAACAGCCTCCACCCACGTGCCTTCGCCTTCTGCCATCTCCATGGCTGTGTGCACGCTCACATGCACACCTTCCCCAAGCAGGAAGCTGCTCTCTGCCAAGAGCGAATGGAATTCCGATTTCCAGAGGGTGCCCTTGGCCTCCAGCTCCATGGCTGTATGAGGAAGAAAGGTCCTAGTGTGTGTGCTGGGGGCTGGGAGAGAGAGAGGCCTCCATCTCCGTTCACGTCTCTCTAGGCCCCAAGACAAACCCACAACTGGCTGTGCTCTCCCCAGCCACACCCAGCCTCAGTCGCATTCCTTCTCTTCCTGAGCCCACACTGGGTGGCCCCGCAAAGCAGCTTGCACACCTCCCTTCCCACCACAGGGGGACCTGCCCAGGCCCCCAAGAGATAGCCAGACAAGTGAGAGGCTCACACTGCAGGCCCACAGCAGCTACAAAGTGTGGAAGAGTCCTCCAAAGCAGTCCCCATGGAAGAAGACACACTTGTTCCCTATCCACCAGTCCCTGAGACTAAACTTCCAGGCCTTCCCATGCCTGTTTTCAGTAAGTCTTTCTTTTTATCCAGTCATCACTTGACTGACCTGGGACCTGGGACCACCATCACTGGTGGACCTGGGAAGGAAGGGCCACCTTAAAGGCTTACATAGCCTTTCTCTACTAGAGGTTCCCAACATACTAACAAGGAGGCCTGGCACCCTTGAGAGTCAAAACATTTATTGGAAAACCAGGTAAATGAGTCAAAAGTTGTGATCAGCAGAGGCAAAGTGGACAAGGTTACTCATACTTCTCTTTAGCCCAAGTACTTGGACTTTGCATGGGTAGAGGTTAGGCAGAGTGACCATTCTGCCAGTAGTTAGAATGGACAAGTAGTTGTGATAAGCAGGTACGTTTATCTTCAGTGTTCAATGAAGCCTGGCACTAAGCTAGAACCAACAAGGCCTGGTGCCCAGGCAGAGGATTTGGTAAACAAAGGCCAACCCGAGCTCCTTTCCGACTGTTCCCTTGGTTTGCTACTAAGACTTATTTTCAAATGCTGTAGCCTCTGAGCAGCCAAGATGATTTCTCCTGAGATTGACTCTGGGGAGAAGACTCTAGGTTGGCAGCCTGGATCTTGACATTTTACCTGTTCTTAAAGTCTATACATGTTATGTCACAGTTGGGCTTCTTTCCTTGGCTCAGGGGCTTATTTTGATCCTCATGTCTGAGTCAGGAATAGTATTTTTCTTTGGAGTCTTCTGACTGTACCATGAAGTGTTATTATGGCCTGAGTAGCCAACTTCACTATCCCTTTTGGCTAGCCCTAGACTTCATCTTTAAGTATTTATGTCATGGTTCAACTCTGCCAACTTTTCCTTCCTGGCAGAGCCTGGAGTGAACTTGGTTGGGAGTCACTATTTCTCACTACCTAGGAGACCCTGCATGGTCAGGCCCAAAGCCTTGAGTGGCAAGTATGGCTTATCCAGCAGTCAGTTGGCCAGGGTGTAGTACTCAGGGAAGGTCCTCTATCAGCTGCTAAACTGGGGCCACTTGCCAGCCCTGGTGAAGGGGACTGGCAGAGCCAGGTATAGGAGATAGGCCTCACTAGGCCAGCAAAAGAGCACGGGACTAGGAACCAGGTGTCCTGGCCTCTCACCCTCCATTAGCTGGCCTTGTCCTCTGGTCAGGGTTGTCTTATCTTAGTCTTTGGGTTCTGGTTTCCTGTTGGTCCATCTCTTGATGCCTAAAAGGAATGTTTTCCTGACCAAAACCCAGGTCGTACAGTCTGATGGAGTCTGATGGAATCACTTCTCATTGTGAGATCCAAGCTGGTGATGGAGGGGCCTGGCAGCACAGAGCTCCTAGGTACTGCCATGAAATGTGGGGAGAATTTCTCATGTGAAATCCATCTGAGTTTCTGAGGTAGACAGTCCCACTCCTGGTCCTATGCACACCCCAGCCTGAGCTCAGTCAAGCAAGCCTTTCACCGAGCATTATTCCACTGAAGGCCAGCTACACCCTAAAGTCCCTGCTTCTGCTAATGGCTAGTCCACACACTCAGTTGGCGGGGTTTATGGGACAGTTCAAAAAGAACAGCAGGAAGATAAAGCATTCAAGTGTTTCAGACTGGAAGGGATTCAGTTTAACTTAACAAATCCAGACATGAACCTAAAGAAAACAGTGAAAAATAAGCCCACCTCCAAAAGGCCCAAGAGGAAGGATTAGGTAGAAGAAAGATCCTCTCTGGGCAGAGGATGGTTGTCCCAGTCTGGAACATTGGGGAGCAGGGGAGGACACTGGGCCTGAATGCAGGTGAGAGCCAGGGGATAAGCCTAGAATGCACCCTAGGCGGGCTTAGGTGAGAAGTTCTGATTTGACCTTGGGCCCCATTCTTTCTACCCCAGAGGGAAAGACCAAATGCCAGAAGAATGGTAGTGGGGCACAGAGCCCAGCCTCCTGACACTACTCACCCCCACTCTCCACCCCCTGCTGGCTCCCTGAGAGTAGCAGCATAGGCCCACAACCATGGCAAGGGTATGTGTCTCCATCTAGGGAGGAACCTTGACGGAGTGTGAACATGTGGGTCATTCCATTCTCTTGCACAGCCCTGTCTACACCACCACTGCCCAAGTACTCTCTACCAACTTGAAAACCCACACTTTGCTCTGCCTCAGTTTCTCCAGCAAGGCCACTGTTACAGTAAAGTTACACTTTGGGTGCAGTGCAGTCTGATTTAATGTGATGGGTGCAGTGCAGTCTGATTTAATGTGAGGGCTGTGTGCCAAGGTCTTTAAAAAAAAGCAGGTAGAGTAACAGTGATCTTCGAAAACCCCTTGAGTTGAACCCAAAATAATCCTTTTCCCACAGCTTTTTTTTTCTTGTTTCTCATGCCTAGTGAAGTAGGAGAGAGGGGCTGTGGATGTCCTGGGTCCCTGGGAGAGGCCTGCTAAATGTCCTTGCACCTCCTGCCATCCCAGAGGGAGCCTTGGGGGCTGTAGCCACATGTGTGGAGAGATAACTTAAAGAGAAGATCAAAGCAGATGAGGGGCCAGAGCTGAGAAGGCAGAGCTGTCTGTCTGGCTTTGAGGCTGATCCTGGATTCCCATCTATCTCTGTCTCTTTTTATTTCTCTTCCTTTTCTCGCTGCTTTCAAGATGGCACCCCAGGTTTTCCATGGAGCTAATCAGATCTGACAAACTTACAGTCAGACCTCCTCTTCTAGCTAGTCAGTCACCTCCAGAGCTGCCAAGGACAGTCCAGCTGTGGCCTCTGCGTAGGACGTTGTACTTACCTTATCCCTAAAAGGTCTGTTCCTAGAAAGCTTAGTAACCACCATGAGAAGCCACAAGGCTGGGCTACTCTGCATCATGGGAGGACAGGTGAGCCTTGCCCACGGCCCTTGGCTTCCTTCCTGGTAGTCTTATGTGGTATCTATAGAGGCTACCCTCACAGAATTCCCCTTGCGGAAAGTAGCTATAAAACCCACATGATCAGTATCCAGGCCATCCCATTCTGCACAGCGGCCTCCTGTGCCAAGGATCATAGAAGCCCTTTGTTTCCATGCAGCCTCATTGCTGACCTCCCAACCCTCACGACTCCAGCCTGTCTTCTGCCAGAGACTCAGGCTCCTTTAAGTGAGACTATGTCTGGGAATGAGCCCTGCTTCTGCTATCATCTCCTGGGTGATAGTAGTCTTTTCGCTTGTGAGGCTTCAATTTCCTTGTCTACAATCTGAGGTGACTGACCTCTTAGATGGTCTGTAGCCTCTGAGTCTGTAATACTGTACTGCTGCCCCATTTGGGGTTATCTTTTCATCGCTTGCTTGTGGGTTTCTCAGACGAGGCAAGCCACATTGATCCTCGGTCACATGCGGGGTTAAGGGGAGGCAGGACACACAAATCATCCTGCTACTTACTCTGCTAAAGGTGGGTGCCAGTATTGGCCGGTAGGCCCAATTGATGAGAACAAATGACATGCACCATGGGCCTCTGTGACTGCACAGGCTTCTCCTCATTTCTTCCTCACTGTGTGGTTCTTCTGCCGACTTCCCCTGCCACCACCTGACTCAGATCACTCTGAGACTTGAGTCCCACGCCTCTAGGTACATCTTGTTAAGGACAGTGCTCGATAGCCCAGCCGTATTTGTATCCCATGGAAACTCACCCAAACTGGCAGTTTTAATTAGTTAATTAAAAAAAATTTTTTTTGAGATAGGATCTGGCTACCTAGGTCCATTTGGCCTGAAACTCATGCTGTAGCCCAGGTTGGCCTCCAACTCATGGTGATTCTTCTGCCTCAGCCGGATTGCTGGGATTATAGGCATGCTCCTCTGGCCGGCTTGTTTTGGATTTTTTGAATAGGCACACTGTAGTTCAGGCTGGCCTTGAACTGCTTACGTAGCTCAGGTTGGGCTCAAACTTGTGACAGTCTCTTGACTCAGCCTGCCAAGTGCTTAGATAACAGGTGTGTGCCATCACACCTGGCAGGATCTGGCAGTTGTAAAGCTCATGCAAATAAGGGCTGTCCCCACAGGATCTGCCAGTACAGCATGCCATTAAAATGGCTTGCATTTATCAGGCCTTTCCCATGTCAGGCAATATGACTGGATACCTGACCCCATCTCCTTGAGTCTTCACACTCAACATGTTGATAATACAGTCCCAGTGTATACAAAAGGAAGTTACAGCTTACAGAGGTTAGGCAAGAAGCCTAGGGTTGTGTGAGTAGGGTGAATGACCCAAGTTGGCCAGGGTTTCCTGGGGACACTTTTCCTCATCCTGGTTAGCATATATCGAGCCAAACTGTTAGCTAATGAAAAAATAAGTCTGACAAACTGATCTCTACCCATATACTTGAAAACTACAGGATACAACAAGAAAAATAAAAGATGACCTAACTAAACAAGGAACACACCAGGCCATTGTTCAAGAGCCCTAATGCAATACAGAGATCTGCTCTCCTGTGCCCATCTAGAGGGCCAATGCAACTCTAGGGGACATTTTCCATGGAAGCTGGCAGGTATATGGTAACACACAGGCCTTATAAAACTCAGCCAGTCATGAGGAAGACCAGCCAGAACCTGCATGCCCAGCTGTCAAGACCTGTTAGCAAACTGCAGTGATAACCAAGTATGGCATTGGCCAAAAAGAACAACTCAGATCTGACCAGTGGAACTGAGTAGGGTCCAGAAGCAGAAATCCATGTCGATAGTGAGCTGATTTACAATGATGCCGATACTACAGAGTGATGGGGCCAGGATGGTCTCTTTAATAAAGGCTACTGAGGCTAACTGGATAGCCAAGTGCAGGAAAAGCATACTTTGACCTCACTCTCACATTGGACACAAAAATCTATTCCAGATGGACTGCAGATCTACATGTGAAAGGTGAGCTAATAAAGCTTCGGAACAAACCAGAGTATCTTTATGACCTTGGAGTAGTCAAAGTTTCTTAAGTAGGACATAAACAGCACTATCCAGAGAGGAAATGTTTGATTAACTGGACCACATTAAAATTAAGACCTTCTGTTCTTCAGACACTATCAAGAGGGGAAGAAAGGCAACATGCAGAGGGGGAGCCAGATTTGAAAAATACACACACACGTATGACAAATGACTCTTATCCAGGATATCCAAGGTATGTAAAGATACCAAGAACTACAGCTTTGTTAAAAAAAAAAAAAAAAGACATGTGCCACATAAAATAAGCAGAAGATGTGGGCATTTTACAAAAGATGATGCAGGTGATGGACTAAGGACATGGAAACGGGCTCAACTTTATTACCCATTACTACAAATTACTACAAATTAAGATGATCATTTGGTGCCGGTAGACATCCACCAGTGTGGCTAAGAAGGAAACAATGAAAAATACCCAGTATTTTATGGAGGACCCTGAATGCTCCAATGACACATTGCCAGGGGAGTGAAAATTGGGATGACAGCGTCAAGAAACTGGCAGTATTTGCAGAAAGTAAATATCTGGCCATCCAGCGATTCATCAGTTCTACCTCTAGGCATTTATTCAGCAAAAACAAAGCCATATATTTACATACACAATACTCTTAGCAGTCCCATACCAGAAACTGTCCAGTGGCTATAAGGTAGCAGAATGAATAAACAAAGCAGCCAGACCAGGCACAGTGGAATGCCAGATAGCAAAGAGCCTGGTGGGGCCACTGCTCTCTTCAGCCCCATGAGTCAGACACAGAGAGCACACATTGTGATTCTTTCTATGTAAAACTCAGAGGCAGATAAGCCTCGCTGTAGTTGCTGGAAGCCAGGCTTGTGGGCTACTCTTGGGGTTCCAGTGACAGAAAGTGAGAGCCTTAAGGGCATCCTCGGAGTTCTGTTGCTTTTTCTGGGGGCTATTTATAGGGGTCTCAGGTGGGAGAAATGCATCAAGCTTGCACTGAAGATCTGTGTACTTTACCCTCTTCTGTGTGCTGTACTTTAAAATTACATGTTAATAAACCAATACCTTATACAAGGACAGCATTCCTTGAGCCCAACTAGACAGATGCATAGGCTAGTGCTGGGCTTTGCCTCTTGACCTCATCAAGAGGATGCATCCTTCAAGCCCCCAAATGAGGTCACTTTGGACCTCAACTAACTTTGGCTTACTCTGTGACTCCCCTTCCAGCTCTAGGCAAGGCATACAGGGGAGATGTTTGGGACATCCTTCCCAACAAACACAAGGAATATCTCTTATGACACCATTAGTGAATTATGTGAAGCCATTTTGTTCTCCTGCCACCTCTATGGTGTGGACATTCTCCTCTGCACTGCCTGTCTGACCGAATACCATCATGGCTTGGAGGTCACAAATGGTAAGGATTGAGCCTGACCAAGGAAGTGAGAATTCTTGCTTCTTTCCTTCCAGACTGTAGTTCCCTCCACAGAGCAATAATCCCCATGAGGCCACCGCATCCTTCTCATGTGTTCAGATGGAGACAGCGAAGCTTGGAAAGTTTAGGGGCCAAGGCAGGCTTCCTGCAGCTGGGCCTTTGCAGGCTGGGAGCCAGATTGAGGGCATCCAGTTCCCAGTCCTGTCTCATTCCCACTGAGCCACTCTGCCTCACTTTTAATTTAATTAGGAGAACATTTAATCCGCTTGTGCATTTTAGAGACGGGTTTGAGCCTGGCCTGAGCTATGTGGGGCTCTGCCGGGGATCCTGTGACTCACACAGCCCTATGCAGCCCTCCCAGCCAGTCTCCCAAGGGGCTTCCTTGGCACCTTGTGCAGACAGAGGTGGTCTGGAGCCTCAGAGGAGACTGGACACTGATCAGGGAAGGTAAACTGGTGTCTTGTATTCTTGGCACACTCCTCTCTGTTTCCCTGGCCACTGGACCCGAGAGAACTTTTCAGTCCTCTCCTACCAATGTCTGCAGGCTGAGCACCCAAGTGAGGGATGTGGATGGTTACTGAGGTTCATTGCCCAGTGCCTTGACAGGCCCTGGGATCTCCAAAATGTCCTGGGCAAAGCTGGTCCCATCATAAAGCTAACCCCGAGTCTAAAGAGCTATGTTCAGGGCTAGACTTATGACTTATGCCTCTATTTCCAGAAAGCATGGGCTAGCCCTGGCTTCACTGACAAATGCAGAATTCAAGAGACATTAGTAGTGATGTAGATGAAAGCCAGGCCACAGTGGCCTCACTGGAAAAGAGAAACTTGAACGTCTTGGCGTGAGATTCTGCAGGGTCCAGGAGAAAGTTGAAGACATGGAAATTCTAATTAACGCATGGGGGGCTGGTTTTGCTCAAGGATTTTCGAAGCTGTCATGTCGCAAGAGACCGGGCAAGCACATGCTCGCCAGGGAGGTGCTGACAGTCACCTGGTGGGTTCTCTGCAGTGCCTTAGTCTGTAAGCTCACTTTCCTTATGCCTTCTTTCCATCCCTGTGCTTGGCCACACCCTCTCGGTAGACAGGGTGCCTCCTGAATGTCTGTCATGGGGAAGGGGAGCTGGTAATGATAAGTGGAGGCCTGCCATCCAAGTGCTATAACAGAAAACACAGCAGGGCCAGGGACAACTCTGAGCCCTTCGGGGGAACCATGCAATGGGGAAGGGCTGAGCCACAGGCTGCTGGGTACATGGTGGTCTTGGCTTCTTGGCCCGGCCATTTTGGTTATCCATATGTAGCTAATGGGACAGATGTGTGCTTCCAGGCCAGTTCGGCTGGCTCAGCAGCTGCAGGGAGGGAGTGAAGGAGGATTTCACAAATGTGGCTGTGGGAGAAGTACACCCAGGCCACACTCACAAGTCCTTGAGCTCAGAGGTGCAGAGCTTTATGCCTGGAGCCTTGTGGCAGAATGCATGGGAGGTACCCACATCCCTTTCTGCATATTCTCAGGCAGGGCCGAGGAAGTGCTCTTTGCATGGGGTGCAGGGTATTGGAACTTCTTTCTGCCTTGAGTTTTGGGGTTAATGCCCTGCGCTTCCTCCTAGCCCTGAGCAAAGTGCTCAGGTTAGTGGTACTTAGGACCTTGAGAGCCCGAGAAGGTGGTAGCTGCCCAACCTGCAAGCACCTAGGAATGGGGTCCATGAGGAGCAAATGCTGAAAAATGATAGGATTCAGATGGCCAGATGAGTAACAAGAATGTTCCAGATGATAGGATACTGTATATAAAGCACAGGAACACACACACAGGAGTGTCCATGTTCCTCTCCTGTCCTACCAGTGACCCTTGATGGACACAGACAGTAGTAGGTAGAGCAGGATCATAGGAACTCTTTTTGTTGGGATATAGGGTTCCCCTTCTCTCATGGAAGGCCCCCCACATGCTGCTCACAATGGCTTCCATCTCTGTTCATTCTCAGCCTGAATTTCAGTGGAGGACTCAGGTTCAGTGCTTGGGATCTAAAGGCTCCCTCAGACTTGTCAGACCCCGGAAGTCAGCATCTGGTAGAGAGGTATGTGTGAGGTTGGGGGCACTCAAGCCAGCTGGCCCTGGAGGCTACATGTAAGCTGTGGGTGCTTGCCTACTGGGCTGGGGCTGACAAAGCCGAAGTCCCCCCTGCATCCCGTGCTGCAGTCCCTACTTGTCAGTGATCCTCTAGTTTTCACCAGGCCTATTTGCTGGCTTCTTGCCCCTCAAAGCACTACTGGCCAACAGGCCCCGGAAAGAGGAGCTTCGCCCAGACCCTGGGACCTTCCCGTAATCAAGGCTGTGGTGACCTCACCTCCCTGGGGCCCTGCAGGCGGGGAGAGCTTGAGATGGAAACAAAATGTGTCTTTATTTATGCTTTTAATTTGAATTCTGGAACTGGCCCAGCATGGTAATACATTTAACATCAGTAAAATACTGAAGAAAAATAGATTTGGCTTTTGACAACCACCTCCCACCCACTTTGCCCCCTGTGAGACCCCTGTACTCATCCCTGTCCTTTGTACACACATCAGGGCACGTTCCTCTCTTCCTAGTGCAGGTCCATGGGGCCAGCTGCCCCCAAGAGCTGTGTTGCATCCCTGCACAGCTGGAGCCTAGTTTAATTACAGGCATCCATCACCAAGCACACTGGGCAGGAGGTGGTGGAATGTAGCCCCAGTGGGGCACAAAGGCCTGGCTACCCCTGTCCTACAGGCAGTTAGGCTCTGGGTAAATACATACAGTGTCCACTGTGGCTCGCCTGCTCCCCTAGGTTGGGGTGAAGGCTTGGCTCTGGGGTCACTTGAGCTCCAAATACTCAGTACTAACGCAGTACTGTACCTCTGTTGCTCCCTACCAGGATTTCTTGAAGGGATGGCACCCAACTCCTGAGGATTCAGGTGGCCAGATTGCTTGATGCCTCAATCCTGACTCTGATCAGATCACAACTTTTTGTAAAACTTTGTTCTTTCCTCTCCCAGCCTCCACCCAGCCTTCTCTTTCTTGCAGAGGAGATCGTGGCTATGCTAGAGCCCAGCTAACAGTAGAAGTGCAAGAGGCCCCAGTATAGCTAGAGACGGGCTTATGATGTGCCAGGACCACAAAAGGCAGAGGGCTTGGGTTCTGCTATTTTAAAAGGGACATGAGAGACTACCTGGTCACCTGTGCCATGAGGCCACACTTGCTTGGAGTTGCCTCTAGATTGGCTGGGCAGCCTCTGGCTCTAGAGAGCTCTGAATGTACTAGTGGCAACATGAGTAGTCTTTCCAAAGGGAGCAATTATAGGGCTGCTGTAGGCTTTGTTATGGGCTACATGGGTCCCTTGTCATCCACCAGTGTCCCCTAGACCTTCCTGCATGGTTGGCACACAGTCCAAGAGCTGGCAAGGCTTCCATGTCCTGGCCATGAGAATAAAGGACAATGTTCTCCAATAGGGGGTAAGTGGCCTTGGGCTACATGGGTCCCTCGTCATCCACCACTGTCCCCTAGACCTTCCTGCATGGTTTGCACACAGTCCAAGAGCTGGCAAGGCTTCCCTGTACTGGCCATGAGAATAAAGGACAATGTTCTCCAATAGGGGGTAAGTGGCCAGAGGACAAGAAAGGACAGGTTGAGTAGCCCTGTGAGATCTATGTGGCATCCTGGCCCCTCATGGGGTTCCCAGTGTACTCTTGAACAATGCTGCTCCAGAGTAGGTACTCCATCTATCCTGCACATACCGCCAGCTACAGAACTCCAGTCTTCACCACTTTGGGGTCTCCCTGGCAGCTGGTAGCTCTAGGTTGCTAAAGACAGGCAGTGGGGGTCTGGACTTGATTGGGACTCCCAACAATAGTCAACCATCCTGTGAGCCTGGATGGTCTTGTTTGGTCATAATCATACCTTAGGACAACCAGTCCTTTCCCATAGAGTGGCCTCCTTTAGGCTCTCCGCTCTGCCAGTTTCAGCACTAGGAGTTCCAACTTCCTTAGTCAGCTGTAAGACCAAATCCACACCTGGCTAGTAGCAAAAGCAGGAGGTCCAGGGCCTCACTATGACAAAGAGGCACACAGTTCATTCAGGACAATCTCCTGACCCCAACACCCCCCCCCCCCACGAGTCAGAAGAACAGAAGATGCTAGAGAAACACAAGAGATGGGAAGGGTCCTAGTAAGTGGCCCTCAGAAGGGCTGAGAGTGTGGCTGTCACATCCTGACACAAAGACTTCACAAGGAAACTCCCCATGGAGGTGTGGCCAGCATGGGCCCAGTGCCCCACTGACCCCACTGCATGGCTGTCACCACTGGGCGCTTGGTTTGGAGCACTGAGTCACACATCACAGGGGAATCACACCATGGCCGGGCACCAGGGATTGGCCTGGTGATGCCATGACGGCGGGGGAGGATGGCATGTATCCCAGGCCAGCTGTGCCTCAGGGGAGGCCAACTGGAAGGCGTGGAGAATCAGCCATTTCCTCCACCTGAAGGAGCCCCTGAGGACAGCAGCGGCAACTGGCAGACAGCACCCGGCATCTGCCCCAGAGCTTTGGCCAGGGTTCCATGGGGAAATGCTAAAAAACAAAGTTGACTCTTTCTGGGGTTGGAGGAGGAGGGGGCAAGGGGAGAGAAAAACAATCTTCTCAGACACTCGAAGCATGAAAACAAGTAGAAAATGATCAGTCTGGTTTTCCATAAGTCAAAACAGGAGGATCGGGTTCCCAGACTCCTCAGGAAATGCCCTTGTCCTTTCCTGTTCTGCCTAGTGCCTGGCATTGGGGCCATGCCTGGCAGCTGGTAGCTCTAGGTTGCTAAAGACAGGCAGTGGGGTGCTGGGTGCTGGGTGAATAGACAGCACCCTGACACATGAACAAACCTTGCCCCTGTGCCAAATCATCCCCTCTGAGCCCCATTCCCCTTTAGCCCAGCCTCTGTGGGTGACTGGGGACTCACTGTGACACGTGGGTGATGGGGGTCAACAGTGTCTCCCCTTCCAAGTCCAGATCCTCGGCAAAGCTGTTGGTTCTCATGAAGTGGGTTGGGCTTACTTCCAGCAGTGTGGGGCTCTTCCTCACTGTAGAAAGGGTGGGCGACAGCACATTAGGCCTCCAACTTGGGGCTTGACGAAGGAGCCCCAGAACTGGGCTTAGATGCCCACCCTCCACATCTCTCACCACTGTGGGAGAGACCTGTGAACTCTCAGGTTCGGGTGAGAAGTAGAAATGGTACCCAGATGCCTCAGCGGTGTGAGGTGCGGTAGAGGAGTGTTTAAGGTGGCCCCCAGTGCCTGAGACCTCATAGTGGTAAGAATGGTAAGGTAAGGGCCAGAGAATCTTCCTCAGTGTGGCAACTACCTGGGGCTGAGCACAGGAGTTCAGGACTCATCCTATTTCATGTTCTGGTCTCTCCCCAGCTTCATGTCTGACTTTTGGGTCAAGAATAGAACATGGATACCAGACACAGATCTAGTTGAGACACTGGCTCTCACTGGAAATGCAGTTATAAAATGATAGGACTGCGGGCCAGGGCAGTAGGATGCCTGCACCTAGAAGTCACATGGCTGCCTTTTCATTCTGGCTATGATGCCCTTTTAAACACTTACATCCTGTGGGAGGCAAAAGATTCATCCCAGTAGCTGGCTTCATACTCATATTCCTGAGCCCCTCAGTGACTCTGACACAGGACCTCAGAAGACTGATCCACTTTGTATTCACTCTCAACTTAGTAATAGTATTGCAAGCTGGGTAAGGTGGCCCATGCCTGTAATTCCAGCACTTGGGAGGCTGATGCAGTAGGATTGTTGTGAGTTCGAGACCAACCTGAGCTACAAAGTGAACTCAAGGCCAGCCTAACCTGTATAGTGAGACCCTATCTCAAAAAAAAAAAAAAAAAAAAAAAATGCAAAAGAATTCAGTACTCCTAAAGAAGCGGAATGATTGAAAGATTCACAATGGCCTTCCTCTTCCGGTGTCACCACTGTTAACCTGTAGGTGGATCCCTAGCTCCTGCCCACTCTGCTCATAAGAATACACAGGCTAGGCATGAACTGCTTTTTATACATGTGAGACATCTCTTGTTTTGTCTGTTTTTGCCTGGTTTTGTTCCTATTACTTTGCAATACACTCATGTCTTCGTCTAGATATGTCCAAGTGGATCTGATGATCATTTTATACATTTTTTTAAACTTTTTATCGGTACCAGGGATCGAACTCACGACTGCCTGCTTGCAAGGTAGGTGCTTATGCCGCTGAGCTAAATCCCCAGCTGATAATCATTATTTAATAGCTACATGATAGTCCATAGCTTAGCTCTACCACAATAAATTCATCCACTGTATTTTGTATGAAAATTAAGATTCTTTTAGTTTTAAGCCATTTCTTCAGGCAATAATGCAAAGAATACCCATCTTTATTTAAAAAGGTGATATACTGGAGCAAGGCAAGAGAGTGTATCTTTGTTTTTAATAAATGTTGTGATTGCTTTTCTAGTAAGTTGTAGCAACTCATTCCTTCCTCCTACCCACAAAGTCCCCATGTGTTCACTATCACAACCCTTCGTAGGTCTTGCCAAACAGGCAAAAATTGAAGTCTGTTCTCATTTTCACTTGTACTAAATGCCTTTTACGGGGTTTCTTCTCGCAGAACTGCTTTTCATATATCTGTTGCTCACTTTGCTTGTTACTTTTTAGAAAATTTTAATATTATAGATAGCAACCTTTTTTTAATATATAAGGCATAACTATCTCAGTCTATCTTTGGTCTTTTAACCTTATTATGTTGTTTTTATCACAGAAAATGTCTTTTTGTTTTACAGTGATACATCTTTGCTTTATGAAAAAGGAAGACTTTCCCACAACTAAGTAATACAACTGTCTTTTAAATTTATGTGTGAATCGGTGTGCATTCATACATATGTGTAAACTTTAATATATATAACATTGTTGTCTAATTTGAGAGGTGATCAACAATAATAAAATAAAATTTAAAAGGCAGTATATACAATCTTACTAAAAAAAACTAAAGTAAAATGTAAAACTATAAAACTTTTGGAGGAAAACAGAGAATCACTGGGACTTTGGATTTGGCAGAAGGATTCCAGATACAATAGCAACAACTTAGCTGGAAGAAGAAAAGAATCAACAAATTGTACTTTATCACAATTAAAAACGTTTGCTCTGTGACAGACTTTCAGTGGAATGAAAGGGCAAACCACAGATTTGGAGAAAACATTTTCACTTATTGAGTCAATGACTATGCCTACAATACATGAAGAATGTTTATAATTTTACAATAATAAAGCAAATAGCCCAGTTTTAAAAACTGGATTACAAATAAGCATATGAAAAGGTACTCAACCAGAAACAATAATCATTGGAGAAATACAAGTTAAAACCACAGTGAGATACCACTATAACCTTATAAGAATGGCGAAATTTCTAAAAATCAAAACCGAGCAATACGGAATAGTATTGGATTACAACAAAACTCACCAGGTTGCAGAGTGTCTGGAATGCTCACATGTTGGTGGGAATGAAAAATGGCCCAGCCACTTTGGAAAACACTTTCGCAGTTTCTTAATCCCTTTCTCAAGTATTTACCCCATCTGAATATTTACATTTATAAAAACACGTGCATAAGTGCACGTAGCAATTTCACTTACAATTGTTGAAAACTAGAAACAACCGAGATGTCCTTTGACAGATGAACAAATGAACAAACCATGTTTCGTTTATTCTAGCCATGCAGTGGAATATTACTGAGCAATACAAAGAAGTGAACTAAACATTCATGTAACTACATGGGTAAAACTCACGTGCATCTTACTAAGCAATGAAAGAAACCAGATGCAAAAAAGCATTTGTGTTATATGACCCAATTTATAGGACATTTTAGAAAAAGCAGACCCTATGGGACCAAAACCATATTATTGGCTGCTAGCAGTTTTGGGCAGGAAGACTGTAAGAAATTCCTCTGTAGGATACTGTGGTGGATGTATGATTTAAGGCATTTGTCAAAGCTCATAGAGCTGTAACTCTCTAAGTGAATCTTCCTTTATACGAATTAAGAATCAATCAGAAAATTGGAGGTTCTTAGGAGGAAAGTAAATTACAATGAGTGGGTTATTAACTGTGTTACAAATGGATGACATAGCACTGAAAGGACAGGTCAAAAAGAAGCTGGCTTACTGTTGCTTTCAAAAACAATTATTTTTGAGTGGACACTGAGTAGCTAAGGACAAAAAAGAAAGATTTACTGACATGAACACTATATACTTTTAAGATAAGTTTGTTTCACAAAAGAGTACTTCCTGTACAGCCAGGTTAGTAAATATACTACATAATGGAGGCCAGGGCCAGGGCCAGGAAAACAAGGATGTAAAGTGTAGTCAGAAACATCAGTATAAATATATGAATATTTCCTAACTCTATATCCTGACAGGAGTTAGAAACCAACCGACACCTCAGAGCAATGAGCATAAGTACCCACCTCATGTTTACTGTATGCCAGTACTATTAAGTTCTGCAATATAAAGAACCAATACAAAGAACCTCTCTGGATGAATGGGTTTATCCACCTTAACACCCGGAAAATATAAAATGGATCTGAAGTATTGTTCAGTGCTACAAAGGAAGGAAACACAAAAATAAACAAAAAAGAAGGATGGGACATGTCAAAAGGACACATACCAAACAGTGGACAAAGCTAGAATAAGTTAAGCAACAAAATAACAATAGTATTGAATTATAACAAAAATGCATACGCCTTAGTCCATACTGATAAATTGAAAAGGGAGAGATAAGTCTTGCTTACTGAAGAACTCCGAATAGTAAGCATAGAAAGACTGAAGAACATAGAAATACACCACCATAATATTTGCTGCAGGAAAGCTCTGTGAATGAAGACTGAATCAGTGGGTGAACTTTAAGAAGGAACTTCAAAGTAACTCCCCCCAAATATGCTTTAATTGCTGCAGTGGTTTCAACACATGTTCACATATTCTCTGATATCCTCATGCCAAATTCAGAGCTGAACTTACCTCCCTTTCAGTATGGGCTGGAGTTGAATGACTTGCTTCTGGTGACTAAACTACAGAAAGGGAAAAACAGCTCAGATACAATGGAGGAACCTGGCCCCTACCACCTTAACCACATGGCTGTGATACAGTGAGAAAAACATCCTGCCTCTCCAAACCCATAACCTTAGTTTAATCCTGGGAAAATTTAGACAAACCCAAACTGAGCAACACTGATAACTGACCAGCATTCTTTACAAGTGTCAGCCTCATAAAAATAAGACTGAGTAGCTGTCACAGATCAGAGAAGATTAAGATCTGCTACCATAAATAAAGTTAACGATGGATCTGGATCCTGGATCAGAAAAAGGACATTAGTAGTTAAACTGAGGAAATAACTGTTGCTTGATAGGGTTGCATTAATGTTAATTTCCTAGTCTTGGTCAATATATCAAAGTTATGTAAGATGCTAACACTGGGCAAAGCTGGTGAGCACAAAAGAATCTTAAGTATTTAAAGGTATGTAAGAACTATGGAGAAAGTATAAAACTTCAGAGACATTGAAGAAGACAAATAATTGGAGAACTATGCTTTCATTCCACTGACAAGAAGACTGAAACTAAAAAGATTCTCTTTAAATCTTAAAAAAAAAAAACCCAAAACATGTAATAAATAAATAGAAACCCAGGGTTTGTGTGTGAGGACTTTCGCAAGCTGATTCTAAAAGTTGTTTGGACGTGTAAAAGGCCAGCAGACGGTGGAGAATCTGTTTCACCAACATCAGTGCTTCTTCCAAAGTCATGAAGAATGTGGTGCTGATGCAAGGAGATACCAACAGGCTTGCTGGACAGAGCTGAGCATCAGATTGCCCCCACATATGGACACTTGCAGTGTATCAGTGGTTGCCTGTGAATCACTGAAGTGCATGGGCTTTTCAAGAAAATGTTCAGGGGCAACAGCATTCAATTGGACCCTTAATTTCTTCTTACTACACACCAAGATAAGTACTTCTTGGCATTCCAGGGGATTGAAGACCACTCATGAAAAGCAAAACTAGAAAGCCTATATGGCTGAATGTAGAATAATATCGTCATAATCTTGGGATTAGGAAGAATATTTTAGAATCAAAAAATAATAATCATAAAGGAAAAGATTAATTAATTTGCTTGCATTGGAGTCAGGACCTAATCACCAAATTACATTTTAAAGAGTGAAAAGACAACTACAAAAGAGTCATAAACCCACAAAATATAAAGAACTTTTGCAAATCAATAAGAGAAATAGAAGGGACCTAATTAACAATGAGCAACCAACAAACAGCACATCCTAAAAGAGGAATCCAAAAGGCTGATGAGCTTGGGGAAAGGTGTTGTGCCTGACTAGCAATCAAGGAAATGTAAATAAACTCAGGAGCTCATGGTCCATAGGGGCCAGTGGCAGACTTCCAGCAGGAAACTGCACAGACATTACTTAGCTGCAGCCGGGAGAAGGGCTCTGAGTGAAGGGCTCTGTGCCCATGACATCCTTGGAGAGACCAGGCAAGGCCTGGTAAGCCTTGAGGAATGTGTGCACATTCAGAGGCCCACAGGTCTGGAACCTGGTGCAAACATTTTACCGCCCCCATTTGAGAGACTTGGGGCTGAGATTCAAGTACCCTGGGTTATATTATACAGTTGTCAAGTGAAAGAGCTAAAACTTCATCCAGGATTCAAATGTTCTTTTGGAAAATAAGAAAAAGAACACAAATACATATTTCAATGTCTGCATCACTTGTATACAGAATGAAGGAGCGGCTGCAAGAGGGGCCTGCTTTACAAACACCCAGGATGATAAGTACCATCTCCAAAGCCCGAGGGCCAAGGCTGAGCCACTCGACCCCTGAGAAAGGCCCTGCGCTGGTGTTTTAGGAAATTAAATGTGCACATCAGTTGGCTGCTTGGAGCAGGTGGGGCTTGCACCTGCCAGAGAGGAATGTGTGCTCTTTGGTTTAATCCTGGGAACAGCACGAGGGGCCCTGCAACAAGGGTCAGAGAGGGGCTCCACAGACTTGTTTTTCCAACTCAAAAGGAGAGGCTGCTATCTGCCAGGCCTGTGTGTCGGAGACTGTTGGGTGTGCCTCTTCCTCCACAGGGACACAAAAGACCAGGCCTACCACCTCCACTTCAGTGTGCACTGCAGACACAGCCAAAGCAGAAATTCTAGAAGATTTTTGGAGAGGGGGCAGGGACTCAATTTCTCCTAGATGTGCGGGTGCTGCTCCTAGTCAGGGGCTTGGGGAAAGTGCTCTACGTGAACAGGACCTACTGGCTACTGCCACTTGTGAAGAGCTCAGTGTTGGTCTATCACAGTGATGTGAAAAGATGGCCCAGCTGCAGAGTAAGCACAAGCCATGGTGTATGTGACAGGGCAGCTAATCTGGACACCAAGACCCTGCAGAGGGCAACGGAGCAATGCCAGGTGCTCTACTGAAAACAGCCAGAGTGCCTGGCCCTCTGGGAACAACCACTATTTCCTGGTGACAATGAAGTCACACTTTTCTAAGGCAGTCCCAGTTTTTGATGCTTTCATTCCTTGGCTGCCTTTGCCTTGTCAAGGCCAGAAACTGGGCCTAAGTTTTCAGGGCAGAACAAAACAATTTTGTTTTCTAGGAAAATGGGAGGTCTGGGATGGTGAGTGCAACATCAGGCGTGGTGACTGCCCCAGCTGGGGCCGCCAGCTGCCAAGTCTCACCCTCTCTCAAGAGAACCGGAACCAGACTCAGCACAGCATCTTCCTTTGCAGCCAGTAGACCTGCTCAGTAGTGTTCTTTGCATTTTATTTTATTTTTTTAAAAAACTATGACCACAGCCAAAAGATTGGAAGGAAATAGATCAAAATGTTAACTGTGTTTGTCCTTGGGTGAAGGGACTTTGGGTGATTTTGATTTCCTTCATTATCATGTCTGTGTTTTCAATTTTGAAAGATACTTTCACAAGTCAGAAAACAATAATTTGTAGAAATCTTACATGTGCTTTGCTTTCAGGCCCATGACCCTGTCACATGGCATCCTGGAGGTAACAGAATATCAGTGTCCTACATCCTTCCCCTCTTCTTTACGTTGTGCATGCAACTGGGTAATACAGAGCTCTTTTGCCATAAAGTTCTCCAAGTATTTCCATTCCAACAGCATGTGGCCTCACGTTCTCCTCGATGAGCTCTCACCCCTCCTTGCTTAGACGAGGTAGGTCAGCATTGACGTGTCAGGTAAGAGCCCAGCTCACTACTGCTGCCCACTGCCCTCTGCTGAGTATTGTTGGTGTCCTTGTTCTTCCCGGTACCTTCACCCAGCTGCTCAGCCTCTGCCCTCCTCATGACTGATTATAATCCTATTTAATCTCCCAGGTGTAATATAAGCCTTTCCCCCCTACAAGCTTTCAAGGCTCCCAAGATTGCTGCCTCCTCTGATGACTGGGGCTTATATGTGCCTGGCCCATAACACAGGAACCTTGCATTCTGCTTTCCCAGAGTCCTTCCTGTGCCTGGCATAGGCAAGATTGCTAAGCCAGCTCACCACTCTGGATAAACAAAAGCTGCCCCCTTTTTTCCTCAGGGAATAACCCCTTTTCTGGCTTTCTCAAAAAAAATTTCCCCCTCTTAGTGGATTCACCAGAGCCTTGTGGCTACTGCACTGTGAAGAGAACTGTTCCCTAGGGCATCCTGACAGCTGCAGCCAGGCCCTGCGTGACATTGCTGAGCTGAAGCCCCACAGCCTGTGCCAGCTGCCCATGCCCAACTCATGGACCCTGAGCCAGAGCAGCCCCGCCACCACCTGTGTCTCCTCTCAGAGGCGAGAAGTAAGGGACATGGACAGAAAGTGTAAAAGCCATTCCCACAACAGCTGCCAGGAACAAGGCAAGGAGTGGAGTGAAAATGTATATTCACAGCTGGCACCCAGTTCCGCTTAGGAAAATACCTTGCCTGAATGGACACCTGTTGTTTTTGCCTGCCCAGCAGCCAAGCCTGGCTTTTGGAAATAGCTTCTCGAATCTTCCCTTAAGGGGTTATCCCTTTCTATTTCTAGGGTTCAAGGTTCAGGTACCTACTGGCAATTTCAAAGGGGTATAGCAAGCTTGGATACCCGTAGCATAGTTTACATCTGAGGATGGTTTGTATCCTCTTTGGGAGCAATGACAGCCTGGCTCAGACAATGGCATGGATTATGAGAAAACAGATGATCTTTTCCACTGGGCTTGCTGATCTGGTGTATACAAGCTGATGGCCATCTTGTCTGTATTCAAAAGTGGCTGCTTAAGGATATAGCTGGGCTGATGGACATAGAAAGTGAGGGTGAGAACAAAAGAATGTACAGGCTGGAAGGGGGAGGAGAGCAAGATCACGACTCCGAGGTCCAGCTGTGCTGGAACAGCTGGGTCCAGATGTGTGAGCCAAAAAATGTCCCTTTTGTCCATAAGCTCGTTTGACTTGGGGTTCCATCATTTGTTATCAAGCAAGTCTTCAGGAATGTGTGTGACAAACTTGAGGGTGACATGTGAGTCTGAGAGGGGGAGGTCAGGGTTACAAAACAGCTGAACTCCATATAGCCCTTGCTGAGCTTTATGGGGCAAAAGGCAGAGAAAAATAGGCTGGTGGGAAAGAAAGTGGCCTGAGGCTTGGGCTCCAATCCTGCAACGGCCAGGGAGCTCTGGGAAAGGGGCTCCCTAAGGCTGGTTGTTGACTTTCTACTGTTGGGTAATGCAAATCCCCAGAACTTCAAGAAGCCCCTTTCCACACTGTTGTGTAAGTGGGGGTGTGGAGGAAATTGTGGAACAAATTGCATCTCACATTTAGTCAAGGTTGTTTCAGAATAGATTCGACTCTTGACAGTGAGAGTCAAAGAAGACCTGTAGATTCCTGAGAAACCCCAGAAAGGATGCTGGGATATGTACAATCTGGACTTAAGTTTGTGAGTATCCTCATCCTCCAAATGCCTCCCTTCACAATAGGACACAGGCATCAGCACATACAAAGCCCAAAATAAGTGGAAATAGTTTTGTGGGCCCAATGGTGGAATCCGAATCGTGGAGGTGTTTAGCAGGATAGATGACGGAGCCAGAACAGGGTCAGCCCCGAGTGAGCCCGGGAAATGGATAGAGAGAGCAACACAGCCATCCACAAAACTAAGTCAACCCACTCCGGTCTCCACACTGCAGGAAGTCACTGTCCGGGTCTCCCAAGACACATTTTCAGGGGAAGGTTCCAGCAGCAAGAGCAGCCCCAGGAAACTTTAATATACAATGGAATCTGGGTTAAGCACTATCTTCTCCAAGAGTTGAGCTCACAGGACATTCCCCAGAAACCTCTGGAGAGGTGGGGAGGAGAGTTTCTGGAGGTCTTTGGATGAAGAAAACAAAAAAGTGGCCTTGATTTTCAAGGCGAAATTACAGAGGAAGAAAAAAATGTTTTTAATCTAATTAAGAGCGATCTTTTCACCTTCATCACAACATCGCGGAAATGTGCCAGTTCTTAACTTCACACAATAATCAAAGCAATTAGTGAGGGAGAAGCCTTGGAAACCGGTGCAGATGTTCTCAGAATGTTTAATGGGGAAATGAGTTGCAGGCCTCGGTCTCAGCATCCGGCTCCAGGCCCTGGCTACCAAATCCAGACATCTGCTAGGGCCCCACCCCCAGGCCCCGAGGGCTCGGGCTTGAGAAACACAGGTCCCTTCCCAGGCTGCCTCCAGCCAGGCCAGATCTGGGCTGAAAGTCTCCCCGTGGCTTCTCAAGCCAGGGCCTGGACACAGTCAGAGCCATCCCAGAGCTGGGGGGAGGCTTAACATCAAAATTATGTTAACAACTAATGTCAAAAGTAATCAACTCAGCTTGGATCCCCCATCCCTGCTGGCTGTAGGAAGGCTGTGAACAAGAGGAGGACAAGAGGCCCCAGAGATACCTCTCCAAAAAAACCCCTTATCATGAACACTATTTCATGTAAAGATATAATAGCCTCTGCTCAGTGTGCCTTGTGAGTTTCATTCAAATGCTGCTGGAGCTGTTGGTCCAGGAATCAAACTGGGCGATCCTTGAGGAATTTCTAATATTCAGAAAGCTTGTATAAGTGAGGATGGTCCTTAGAAAGTAGCCTGTTTTAAGAACAAGGAGGGTACATGACTAATGTTAAATGGCTGGTGGAGAAAGAGTGACCTTAGCCAGGCAGTTCGGTAAACCTTGGATGCCTTGCTGGAATGGCGTGCACTAGGAACATGGAGGTGAAGAGAACATTGATCCTCTCCTCGGGGATACACGGGCATCGTGAGCCCCCACCTTTTTACTACTGTCAGCACTCACAGCCTTCGAACTGAAGGCTTCTTTTTCAATGTCAACCTCCCAAATGTACTAGAGTGCACCACCCTGATATCAGAGGCCTGTTTAACACACAGACGCCAAGATGGATGGGAAATGAATCACCAGGGGAAGTATTCAATAGTGATAAACAGCCTGCTTACCCCATCTTTGTAGAACTGTAAGACACGTTCTCAGTAGACACTCTGGTGCCCACCTTGGAGTTATTGCTTGTTAAATGACTGGCATAGCATTCCTAAGTTAGACTTTACATTCAGGGAAACTGGCCCAAGACAATGTGAGAGGAAGCTGCTGAAGCATTTAATAGAGGAAGCAGCAAGATGCACTGTATATTTAAAGAATCTTCTGTCGATAGTGTGGAAGTTGAAAGAACACTGAAGAGGAAAAAGCAACTACTCAGGAAGAGACGTGATGATGGCATTAACAAGAGAGATATGTGGGGGTATGAGAAATCCAGACAACTGACAAAACTCAATGAGGTATTTGACAGGGGCAGTAAATTGTTCTTTTTTTAAATGCAAAAATTTGAAAAATACTTTGAGGAAGTTTTGTAGAACAATAAATAGTGTGCTGCTCCCTTCCCTCTGACCCAAAAATCTTCCTGTACACCTCCCTAAAACTAAAATCAACAAAATTGCATTTAAAGGCATACAGGACCCAGCCTTTCTACAGTACTAAGAAACAACGCTATGACCGTGAAAGAAGAGATGAACCAAATCGTGACCACATTCTAGCACTGTGCTACCTTTGCAAGCCTGTATATGCAAAATGTCCAAGAAAAGTTAAAATATTCTGTCAAAGACACTGTGTATGGTGGACAACATTGCAAACATATTTCCAAGGACGCTTCCCTTCACAGATACATTTTTACAAAGGCAAAATCCCACGGTCAACCTTGTCAAAACTTGGAAAACCAGTTGATGGTTTACAGTGATTACAATGAACATCAAACCAACTTATACTACAATTTAAAAATGGTAGGCAGCCAGTTGTGGTGGCACACACCTGTAATCCCAGCACTCTAAAGGCTGAGGCATGAGGATCACCTCAAGTTCAAGGCCAGCTTGAGCTGCAAAATCAGATCCTGTCTCAACAAACAAAATTGCAGGAAAGTATTGCAGTGTTTTTGTTTGTGCTTTTATCACCCTTGCCTCAGCTTACTCATACTCTTGAAGATGGAAGCTTCTGTTGTATTTCAGATGTTATACATTGATCCCTGGATCTAGAAGGTGGAGAGACCTTTTTTTTTAATTACTTTATTTATTCAAGTTTTGTAACAGGGAGTGAACTCACCACCTCACACTTGCCAGGCAGGCATTGTACCACTGAGCTACCCTTCACCCCAGAGATCTTACTTTTAAAAAGTTAGTTCTTTTGTATATTGATTGAGGGCTGCCTGAAGGCCTGATGTACAGTGATTGCCTTTGTTTCATCTAATGCACAACCGATTCAAGGGAAAAATTTGTACAGTACTTGCAGGTAAGAGGGTTAGCAAATCACATGACCTGGGGAATAGGAACCTGGGGAAAAGCTTAGTGGTTGAAACATAAATTAGGTCACTAAAAACTTTTGAGGACAATCTACTGAGAATTTCTCTGGCCAAATAGAGCATTGCAAAGTTTCTGTGTAACCTGAGGGAATTTATAAAGCAATATGTGTGCACAGGGCTTGATGTATGCTAAGAAAAATCCTCAGCACAACATTAAGCTTTTACTTCTTGGTGATTTCTGTGCTTCAAACTGCAAATGAAGGCTAAAACAGGGTTGTAAACAGCCTGGCTAAATGCTGAAGGGATACTAAAGCAGAGCCAATTTGCAAAAACTGGGATAATTTTCGTTTCCTTTTTCTTGATCTCTGACTTTTGCCACTGAAGGATATCTGTTAAAATGAATTGAATGTAAATTAACAGAAGAGGAACTATAAAGACCACCTATATGACAATACATATTTCACAGCAATAGCTGAGAAGTCATTCACACATTATAGATTTAATGTCAGATTAAAAAAAGACTTGATTTCCAGAGTTATCACAGGTAATACTTAAAATGTCCAATGTTTAACAAAAATACAAAATATGCAAAACTCTATGACCATTTTCAGATGAAAATATTTCTAAGGAAGCACAGATATTGAACTTACTTGACAAAGACTGCAAGTATTCTAAAACATTCTCAGAGACCTAAAGGAAATCATTAGCAAAGAACTAAAGGAAACCAGGACAATAGACAATATCAATAAAGATAAACTACGGAAAAAATTAAAAGCTCTGGAACTCAAAAGTATAACAAATGAAGAAATTTACTAAACAGTGACTAGAGGATTACATTAACAGATTAGGGAAAACAATCTAAATGTCAACAAAGATTGAGTAAAACAATCAATTGTGAGCATTAGTAGAGAAAGAATTTTTTAAAAAAATGAACAACCTGAGAGTCCTATGGTATACCATCAAGTACACAGGAATCATATTTCAACTTCCCAAATTTGATGAAGCACATGAATTTGTATATCCATGAAACTACAGAAACTCTGCAGAGAATAAAAAGTCACACAAATACACAGCATAATCAAACTGTCAAAAGACAGAATATAACAGGAGCAAGAGACCTGACTCAGCATGTGGTGATTACAAGAACGGTAACGTATTTCTCATTGGTAAGTATAGATGCCATAAGGGAAGGGGGATGGCTTTTTTTAAGTGATGAGAGAAAAAAAATATTTTGACAACAAATGATTCTATATCAAGGAAAATTATTCTTCAAAAGGAGAACTCAAAGAATTTCCAAATCAACAAAAGATGAGGACGCTCATCTCTTGTTGACTTTCTCATCACCAGCTGATTTTATTACACAAAAGGAAATAGAGATTCACAATTACATAAAAGGCTACTATAAAACAATTTGAGGCTACAAAAATATGAAATTCCAGAATCAGTCAACACAAATATAAAAGCCAGCATTCTAGTTTTAGTTCATAACTTTAATTTCTATGTGACTTAAAAATTAATAAAACAATATTATACATCTATATTACTAGGCATTCTTTTAATAAAGATTACATAAAAATACATTTTGAGACTACAAGAACATAAGAGAATAAAGGTCTATAGGATTTTAATTTTTTGTACATTATTGAAATTATGTTAATATAAGTCCAAACTATATATTTTTTCTTTTTTCTTTTTTTTTTTTTTTTGGCTTTTTCTTCTTTATCGGTACTCGGGATCGAACTCACGACCACACACTTGCAAGGCATGCGCTTATGCCGCTGAGCTAAATCCCCAGCCCCCAAACTATACTTTTTATAAATTTATGATGTTACTCCAATCTCAACTATTCAGATAATGCCTTAAAATACATGTGCACAGTTCTACATGTGAGAGGATTAGAAGTCATTCATGTGTCTGAACAATAGATTCAAAGTTGAACTGAAAAATCAACGCTTTAAGATGTGTAGCAGAAGTCAGATCAGAAGGCAAACCACTGCCCTCAACATGAAGACACAGGTAGGTACAGAGAATTGCAACACAGAGCTGAAACCTGCTGAAATCAGTGCTTTGTAAGAAAATCTGAACCACAATTTATGAATTGCTGGCGGTCAGGTATGGACAAGCTTGTGAATTAAAATATGTCGGAAACCCAGGTGTGTGTGTGTGTCTGTGTGTGTGTTTCCAGTTTTCTTGAGTTATCACCTCCAAGAGCTTGACCACGTTCTTGGGGTAAACAGAAGAAGAATTCCCTTGTAACTTTCATGGTGGCAAGGTAAAATATATTTTCAATATATCAAAGTACTCTCATCAGAAAAAGACCTGCCTTCGGTGGAAATTAGTTTATTAGAGCCTAACCTGCTGGAGTTTCATCAGGGCAAGGTAAGTATTGAACTGTAACCAGCTCTAACCTTCCATGTAGAAGCACGGAAAGAAGCCAACTCCTTCTGTCTCTCCTTTGCCAAGAAGAGACGAAATCCTGGAGGAATATTTGGTAAGTCTGAAGGCAAGAGTCTAAACTTCATAAGGTAAAATATAAAAATAAAGCAACAAAACACCTCCTCTCACTACCTCAACTTATTTTATTTCCAGTGATCATGTAGCTTTTGCTTTTACCAACCTTATAATGTCCAGTTATTAAGAAAAAAAATCTTAAGTCATACTACAAGGGGCAAACACTTTCAAAAGACAGCGAACATCAGAACCAGACCTGGCAAAAATGTTGGAAATGGACTGGGAATTTAAAACAACTATCATAAATGTGCAAAGGAATCTCATGAATAAAGAAGACAGCATTTATGAACATGGACAATGTAAACAGCGATGGAATTCATTGGAAAAAGCAAAAATGTTAGCAATTAAAATGCTAACAAATGTAAAATGTCATTATGGGCTTATTAGCAAACTGAAAATAGCTAAGAAAAACATCTATGAGCTTAATCATATTTCAGTAGAAACATCCAAAAGTATAAGGCAAAAGCAAAGAGAAGAATGTCTTAAAAGTTCAGAAATGAAGAAAACAGTATCCAAGGGATATGAAATAACTGCAGAAGGTTTAACATGCAATGAAAATGCTAGAAATAGAAGGAAAGAATGTAAGAGAAATGTTTGAAACAATACTGGCTGAGAATTTCCTCTGACTAATGACATACACTAAACTACAGGTCCAGGAAACTTGTAGAACAATAAGCAGGATATGTATAAAACCAACAAAAACAACTAACCTCACGCCCCCACACACATACACTAACTATACCTGTACATACACACTTCATACTGGAACTCAAAAATTTCTACAACAAGGTAAAGGGAAAGAATGAATTTAAGAGAAGTAAATATAAGAACTATACAACAAGCTTTGCAGAAACAAAATGAACAAGAAAAGTGGAGTGACAAAAAGAAAAACAAAAAATCCTAATGAATCACCAGCATTTGAATTCTTTACTCAGTGAAATCATTCTTCAAAACTAAAGAAGTGCTTTCTCAGAGGATAAAAATCGAATTTATTGCTAGAAGAACTTACCTGCAAAATATGTTGAAAACACTTGTAAACAAAGAAAGTATCACAAATACAGAAAAATCTAAAGAAAGAAGAAGTAATTGTAACATGTTTTGCTTTCAGTTGAACTAAAAGAGTATATCCAAAACAGGATCAGTAAGGATGTATTTACTTTTGGTGCTTATGAATATATTATGTATATGTGTATACTTTTGTAAGTGAAAGAAGTGGCAGCATGATAAAAGGGGGAAGATGGGATAGGATTATGTTACACCACACATAAATTAAGTTTTACCACATGTCATTTGAAAGTTGGCTTGGATTCACTGAAAATAGATACTACAAAATATAGTGTAACCACATTAAAGAGTTAAAAAAAGTAACTAAGCGAAGAAAGGAAAGAAGCCAGAATTTTGATAGTCAACTAAAATCACAAAGGACTAAAGACACTTCAGGACCCCAGAGTTGTGAAAAACATTTCATATGAACAGCAATTGCACACTGTTATGCAAGTTAAGCCCAGCATTCCTTCCTGATTTACAATTCCAGAATGCTGTCTTCAGTCCTTTCTTTCTGCTCCAGAGGTACATTTCTGAGATAGATATATGTTTTCCATATATGGAAATTGGCATTTCTGTTAGTGTCCTGCCCTATCTAATACCTATCCTCCTTATCTCAAGGTCTGTATTTCTGATGTCTTATCATACCGGCATACCTCTGGAATTGTAGTGGAATGGCTTTGGAAAAACAAAACAAAGAGACATGCTGCTACTGATCTGGCTATAAACAAGATATCCACTAAGTAGCTGACAACTGTGACCTAAGTTGTATAATCAGTATCTCTCCTAATACCATTAACAAAAACAAAACATTCCTGAAAATGGTGTTGGGTAGGGAAGATTGCGGACTTCATCTTTGGTTATACAGGAGAGCCTTCTAAATAACACGTGGAAACACATCTCACATAAACTGCTTCAGACAAAGAACAAAGGGGCAGTAGATTCTCAACATTACAAATCTGTAAGAATTTAAGGAAAACATTCCTTTGTACCACCTAACAGTCAATTCATGATAGAAAATGTAATGCAGCACTAATTTCATAGTTCTTGTGGAATGGGGCAGGGAATTCTGTAGCCCTCCTGAGGATAGGGATGACATTACAAAGTTGAGCAAAGACCTGCTGTGCTGTCAAAGTGTCTTGAAGTTGCTACTGACAAAGAGAGGTTGAAGGCAGCCATTGCCATTAAGATGTATGTGTATAAAAAGAGGGTTTTCTCCTGAAAAGACGACAAAGATGAGTCTCGACTGGTTAAAAAGTACAATATCTGCTGTTAAAAGTGTCTGTCAATGATGTGAACCAGCTCCAGTAATAAAGCTAAAGACATGTTTTAGCATGGAAGTTAAAGAACCTGAGCCTTAATTCAAATCCCCTAAAAGCACCAAAATGGTGAGCGGAAAAAAATGTGCTGCACAGAGAAAAAGTCTTGTGCTTAGTGGAATCAGTCAAACAAAGACATCTACAATGAAATGAACTCTGCTGAAGAGGAATATCTAATGCCAGTTCAGTGATTCCTGTCTAATGAAAAATAGACATCACTAGGCATCCATGCAAGAAGGGGTCAAATATAAAGGCAAGCAATGTATTTCTCAATTTAAACAACCAAGCTCCAAGATACCAACAATTAGGACAATATGTACTATTAAACTTTCTAGAATCAAACTTTTAGAAGAGCAAATAAATGGAATGGTATGTGCAAAACCAAAAAGACAGAATTTTTGAAAGACTAAGAAACAAAAGAACAACAAAGAACCCAGTGACAGTACTTCAAATAAATATATATATTATGAGCTTTAATGGTCCAAGTACAGTAATTAAAAGTTGATAAAAAAAAATCAAGAACACACTGTGTGAAGACATTCATGAGAAAAATGAATATATTAATGTGGAGAATTTTTGATACTGTGGATCAAACTCATAACCACACACATGCAAGGCAGGTCTGTGCTGTCGAGCTAAATCCCTGACCCTTTTGTAGATTTTAAAGCAAAGAAGTTATTGGGAAAAGAAGTCCATTTGGCAAGAAGTCATTACTTTATCGTTTCTTGTAAGAGTACAACCAAATTACATGTGCAAAATCTGATTGAACTTCAAGAAAAAACAGGTGAATCTTTTACAATTAGAGATTTATCAGAAATGAGTAGATTACCCTCAATATCATGCAGGACTATTGAAACCAGCCACAGCATGATACATGCTCCTCTGAAGTTAACATGGAACCTCGATCAAGACAGAATATATTTAGGACTTCAAACACATTAACATATTTAAAAGAAAGGAAATCGGACAAGGTCTGCCCTTCAACTATAATGGCATTATTTAATAACAAAACATAATGGAAAAGTTCGAACCACATGGACTTATAACATTTAACATATGGATCAAATAAATAAATTTTAGAGCTTTTAGATATAAAATATGGTAACAAGTGATAACAATATAAGATTCTAAGAAGAGTGATGAGCAAATTTATAGCTTTGAAACAAGTATGTTTCATATGTATATTTATGAAAATATATCTAAGTTTATTCTCCAGTGCAGCAATTCACAAGGAAAAAATTAAAAGAAATAGGAAATGGGAAAAGTATTAAATTTGCCTTATAAAGTGAGCTGTGGTGTCACATACTTGTAATCCCAGCAGTCCAGGGCCTGAGACAGGAAGATCATTGTGAGTTGGAGACCAACGTGGGCCACAAAGTGTGCATGAGGCCGGCCGGAACAGCATAGTGAGGCCCTCTCAAAAGTCAAAGCAAAAAATTAGCCTTATAAGCTGCAGTGAGAGGACTCCTAAGGATTTCATCAAAAGATATTTGAAGCTGATAAATTCAGCAAAATAGAATACAAAATCATTTTTAAAAATCAGTATCTTTGCCAATAATGAAATACTTGAGAAGGATATCAGGAAAACAATTCTATTCACAGTGGTATCCAAAAGAGTAAAAAAATCCAGGAACCTATCCAAGGAAAAGAGTGAAATCTATGACAAAAAATTATGGAATGCTGAAGAAAGAAATGAAAACGCTAGAACATGGAGAGGGGTCACATGTATGCTTATAAGCAGAATATTGCTAAAATGGCCATACAACAGAAAGCAGTCTAAATTCAGTGCAATCCCCATCAGTCTTCAATAATATTCCTTAAACAATGAGAAGAAAGTTATAAAGTTCATGTGAAAACAAAAAAGTGCAGACTGGCTAAAACAACAAGAGCAAAGCTGGAGGCATCATTTGATGTGTTTTAAAATTATACTACTCAACTCTATAGTGCTATCATAAAAAAGATGTAGACCAATGAAATACCACAGAGGACACTGAAAATAATTCTATGCAACTATAGCTGATTCTTGACATTTGAGAAAAACATTAACTGGAGAAGACAGCCTTTTTAATAAACAGTGCTGAGGCAATGGATATCCATATGCAGAAGAATAATACTAGAACCCATTTCTCACCTTGTACAAAAAAAAAACTCTTAAAATCTTTGCTAGAAAAATACTACTTGCATAGCACTCTAAATAGCACATGGATTAATAAGTATTAATAAATTGCAAAATTAATTGAATAGACATTTCTGAAAAATTTTATATTTGACCAGCAAGTGTATAAAATTTTTCAATATTTTTCACCATTGGACAAATGGAAATCAACATTATTCTATGATTTCATCTAACCACAGGTAGAATGTCTATCAAGAATACAAAAACTATGGGTCATTGAAGGCTCCAACAGGAACCTTTCTACACAGTTACTGGTTGCGCAAATTAGTACAGTCACTATCGAAATAACTAGAGCTTCCTAAAAAAAAAGAAAGAAAGGAAACCCAAAATAGAACTATCATATGACTCAAGTGAGGGGTAAGACTAAAAGAGAGAGTCCTAGCAAACTATCTGTGGATGCCGGCAATCCTGGGTTCTGGAAAATTTCACAATCCTGTCAGGCTGACAGCCCACTTAGATAAGTCACCTGAAATCTGCATAATAGACTGGCTTTTGAAAAGGATCTCATATCACCTCTCTGAATATCCAGGATACTGTAACCAGAACTGTTCTTGAGAAGTGAGCTATTTTCTGAAATTAGATTGCTGTAATGGATCAGAAAGACCTGATGACCAGCTGCTTTGGAAAACCTACATGATGTTTTACATACACTACGGCCTCCTTACCAGCACACAGGTGTTACAGGGAGGATACTGATGTATAGTATCAGAAGATCATCATGGTATCACCCTATGAAAACAATTGTGTTATTCAGCAGGTAAGTACTCAGTCCAGCTTCAGGACTGAAGAAAAGTGCCTATATTTCCTGTGACATCACTGTTATCCTTTATACCCAGGTGCCTATTAGGGCAGGGAGCCAAAAGTGGTTTCCATTGCTGCCCTTCTTCCAGGGACACATTTAATGCAACTTGGACAATGATTTGGTTGCAGTTGTTGCTTCTCCCCTGACTACATACATCCAAACAGTGCAGAGAGGATGTCTGATTGATGTCAGCAGCAGACAAACTACAGTGCTCTGTCATTGACACAGAAGAAAACCACTGTTCCTATCATCTCATAGACACATTGCGTGACCAGACACTTGTCAGTATGACAGAAATATTAAACTTAGGCACTGTATTTCCTAACAGTACATTTACTTGCATTGCATTGGGACTTGTGCCAATCAATGTATCCTCTGAATTCCTGGGAGCCAGCACCAGAGGCCTGTTGAGGCTGCACAACAACTATCATCAATATTGTTTGTGGGGACACCCATCACCCAACAGGGTTCACTAGTCATTTCAAGGGATCCACACAACATACTGGATTCTATGCTATCTATATCAGACCTCCCTCAATTGCTTGAATGCCCCATTTTTATGTGTCTCAGATTAACGGTAAGTTACCCACATCTTCCATGGCATTCACTGTGCCTAACTTCACAAAATCTCATGACAATTCTTCAGAGAAAATTTACGTACTAAACAACCTATCACTCAGTTGTTACCTAGTAAAGCAGATGCAAGCAGATGTCGACATATGAGCACAAGAAATAGAAAAATACAAGCTAATACAATATTTAAACAAAAAGTATATCAAAAAACACAAATGAAGTACCTGAAAGTGTTTCAAAGAATGATAAAAGTTCAATGATATGAATTCAAGATAATATAGATAAACACTCAATACTTGGGGGAAAGGCAGTACATAAATGAGAAATCGAGCAAAGAGATATTCTGAAAACAAGATAAATCATAGAATTCAGGAATTGAATGTGAAAAACAGTTGGGTTCTGTTGGTGTGCTTGTAATCCCAGCATGCAGGATACTGCAGGATTGCCACATGTTCCACGCCAACCTGAACTATATAGCTTGATAAGTTCCAGTTTGAACTACACAGTGCAATCATGTCTCAAAAAGAGTACACATGAAAGCCATGACACATTAGATCAAATGAAGAACATATTTAAAATTTGAAACAACTTTTGATGTATTGGAGTCAGGTCAAACGACACAAAAGTAAAAAGCAATGATGAACTCATTAACAAAATGTCCATAAAATATTTAACTGAACAAATATCTAAAATTTCAGAAAGTTAATAGTGTATAGAATATATTCAATGACTGTTCTCATGTTGGTACACTTACAGCTACTCATATACAGAAGTATATAGGACCATACACCAAGACTTGGATTCATCCCAGTAATGCAAGAATGGTTCAAGATAGGTAAATCAATAAATATATGCAACTATAATAATAGTCAATGATAAAATCAATATGATCATCTCAATACATGCAGAAAAAGTGCAAAAGTTAAAAACCCATTAATGGTCAAACCCTGTAATGAATTGGATTAGATGATTCAATGAGTTCCATAAAAGCCATCAATGGAAACTGACAGCCAACATACTAAATGAAAAAAAATTGAAAGCTTTTACTCAAAAATCAAGAACAAGGATGTCTACACTCACCACTTATTTAAGATAAACAAGAAAAAACAAAAAGAAAACAAATGGAAGATGGAATATTTGCATGTGATACTCCATATAGACAACAAAAACTCAAAAATACTTGTGAATTTAATGATCAAATTCAGTATTGTAAATGGATACAAAGTTGATATGCAAAAAATCAGTGATCTTCCTGAGTATGAACACCTTTAACAATAGGATACAAAACATGTAATACCTGGGATCAATTTGATGATGGAAATAAAAGATTTCTTTGTTTTAAGTTACAGTACTCTAAATAGAGAGATTAAAGATGGTATCAAAAAATTGAAAGATATCCCTTGCTCTTGGGTAGGAAGGATCAATACAGTAAAAATAATATTTCAAAAACTGATACAGATTCAATGCAGTCCCAATCAAAATTCCTATAGCATGTCACAAAACTAGAGAAAGCATTCTTAAAATTTATCTGGATGCAGAAGAGACCTAAAATATCAAAAGCAGTCCTAGACACCAAAGACAAGATGGCATGCATCAAAATCCCTGACTTCATATCGTATTACAAAGCTGCTGGGATAAAAGCATGTTACTAATGAAAAAAATAGATCTAATAATCAATATACAGGTAATAAAATCCTGAAACATCTCCAAACATACTTGACTCTCTTGTCATTGACAAATGTGCCACTTTCCAAGAAGAAACAGCATGAAAAACTGGATACCTAAATGCCAAACATTAACACTAGAATCAAGTCTTTCATTATGCACTAAACTTAAAATGCATGAAAAATCTAAACATTAAAACACTAAGTCTGACAGAACTTTTAAGGACATTGTGTTATGCCAAGATTTTATGAACAGAACCTCAATCACAGAACTATTACAATCAGCAATTGGGATCACAATTGAAAAAGAGAAATCACCAGTAAGAGAATTCAACAGCAAGAGAAATCACCAACAGAGCAAGCTGAGAACCAATTGAATGAAAAACATTTTAGCCAGTTGTCACTCAAAGGACTTATATCAAGAACTTACAAAGAACTGAAAATATGAGTTTCCCCAAATTTAAAGACCCAATCATAAGTTTCCCCAAATTTAAAGACCCAATCCAAAAATGGGCATCTGAAATAGACACATCAGATGAAATAATATAAAAGGCAAACCAATGTATTAAAAAAAATCTTCAACCTCATTGGTCATTTCAGAGATGCAGTTTAAAATAACACTTGGATTCCACTTCATCCTAGAAAGAATGGCTGTTATCAAGAAGTCAAGCAATAACATACCAGTGGGCTTATGAACAAAAAAGAAATGTTGGGGGATGCAGAGTGATGGATACAGCACATAAATCAGTGTGGAGGTTTCTCCAAAAACTTGGTCTAGAGGTTCCATGTAACCAAGCTGTTCCTCTTGGTATCTTCCTGAACAAATTAAAATCACGATACAATAGCAACAGATGCACATCAATGTGTATAGCAACATAGTTTGCAACAGTTTGAAAAATCCTACAAGTGCATCAAATGATGGAACGGGAAAAAATGTATTTTTAATACATTGTAGTACTACTTGCCACGAAGAAGGGTAATATTCAGACACTTGCCTAAATGGATGGACTTTGAGACCAGTTTCTTAAGTGAAATAAATCAAACATGCAAATTACAGATTGTTTCTCTCATGTGAAAAAAACCATAATGTAAGTATCAAGATGTGTAGTGCAAACTGATAGGAAGATGTTCAAATGTATTTCTACAGAACAAAAGAGGAGAAAGGAGGAAACCAGAAAAAATAGAAATCACACCATTTACGCAATCTCAGCAACATGTCAATCAAAAATGTTCACTGAATATCTCAAAATGGATACAGTTGTGCCTCTACAATCTACAGTTTTAAAAAAATGGCCACATTTGACTTTGAAAACAATGGTCATGTTTGTCAACTGATGTAGAGTTAAGAAATGAAACCAACAATTTCTTAAATGCTGTTCTTTGCAAACAAAATATCAAAACTTGAACATAGCAAAAGCAGTTCTAAGAAATTTCGTAGAAGAAAGTGTCTACATCTAAAAGGAAAATTTCTCAATGATTTAGTATGAAAAAAATCCAGAAAAAAAAGAAGAGAAATGACAACAGAAAATAAAGAGATAACTGTGTATTGAAGACTAATCAGAAAACAATTTGTCTTATGGAAAAGTGAAACTGATAAATTAGAAGAACAAGGAGAAAAAACCAAAAATGAAAATGGGGACAGTTTCACTGATATCAGTGTTTTATAAAAATTATCTGGTGTTGTGAATATGTTATAACAAATTGGAAAACAGAAGTAACAGAAATTTCTGAACACACAAATACCACCAAAAGTGAATCATGATGACATAAGAATGTGTCAAGAGACCAAAAAGTGAGACCTTTAATCAGTTTTAAAAAGTCATCAGTACTAAAAAGTTTTATGAAAGTAAAACTCTCATGCAGGCAACTTTACTCCTAAGCTTTTATAGAACTAATGTCACTCCAAAGAATTGATGGGGCAGAAACTCTTATAAATTCATTTTATAAAGCCAACCTGACTATTGTCAAATGCAGACTAGGGCACTAGTTACTGGAAACTACAGAATAAAAACTTTAGTCAGTACTGGGAATTCAATTCATGACCGCGTGTTTGCAAGGCAGGTACTTATGCCACTGAGTTAAATCCCCAGGCCCCTAGAGTAAAAACTTTCATCATATATGCAAAAATCCTGAATAAAATACTACCAAATCAAATTAAACAACATCAAGAAGTCACTCATCATAATCAAGTTGATTTTATCTCAAGGATACAAGGTTGGTTGAAGTCACATAATCCAATAAGAAACATAATATCAAAAGGAGTATAAGATGGGATGATCACTTCAACATACAAAAAAAAAAAAAAAAACCCATTTGATAAAATTCTGTTTCTGTTCATGAGAAATAGACCCAAAAGTTATGGATAGAGGAATGATACCTCAATTTCATAAATTTTACATAAGATGGATGCACAACCCATGTCATTTTCAGGGGAGGAAATCTTCAATCAGGGTTGAATAACCTATACCAAAATGGGTGAGTGATTAAAACGTTGAACTTAAGATTCAATGGATTAGTATCTACACGGGTTCAAACTCCACCTGTGGTTCAACCGAACTCATTCCTCACCAGGACGAAATAATATGTCTTTCAAATCATATGATGCTTGTTGTAAAAAAAAAAAAAAAAAACACCACCAAAGGATTATAAAATCAAAGTAACCAAAATGTTGCATACAAAGTTGAATTAAAATAACATGTTTATGCCTGCTTGAACTACACATATGACTGTCTCTTTAGGCAGCTTATGTAAGTGATAGGCTATGCATGAGTGTTCCATGCCACCCAGTTGGACATGGCAGTGAGACATACAAGTTTTGGTGCAATCGTGAATGTGTTCTATAAAGAATTTATTAACAATGAGATAATGGAAAGCTATTCAATGAACACTAGCAAGAAAGATATTACCAAGAAATAAATTTCACCAAAGAAATGAAATATACCTACAGTGAAAATTTTTGAAGCACTAATGTAAGCAATTGCTGAAGACAGGAAATGATGGAGAAAAATTTCCATGTTCACTATTAAAATTTTTCATTTTTTAATGTCCATAAAATCAAACATAGTGGATACATGACACAACGTTTGTCAAAATGCAAATGACATTCTTTGTGGAAGTAGATAAATCCCATTTTCATATGGAAGTGAAATTCCCTAAATAGCCAAAACAAACCTGGATGCTTCACTATACCAGATTTGACAACATAGCATGGTGTTACTATAAGACACACTAAACTCTGGAATGTAGCAAAAGCAGTACTAATAAGGAAGTTTACAGTAATAACTGGCTTTGGTAAAATTAAAGCAAAAAGATACTAGATAAATAGTAAAAATTATATCTCTAAACCTTAAATTTCAACAAATGGATCCTAAATTTATGAGAACAAATGAAATCAAGTTGAGAACAGAAGCATGCTATAAAATACCAAAAAAGTTAATATAAATGTTTAGTGTAAATAAAATCAACAAACCCTCAAGGTATATAAGAAGACTCACCATCAGAATTTAAAGTGGAAATATAATAGAAACTTTGGAAATAAAAAGGTAAATTAAGAAGTATGTATAATCATGCCATCAAATTAGTTATCTACAAGAAATGAATAAAATGCTAGAAAAATGGCCTGTTAACATTGAATCAGGAAAAAAAAAAAAAAAAAAACAACCAAAGTTGGAAGACTTATACCAGATATTGAAGTCTTTGTAAAACTTACCCAAGAGAAGACCAGGACCCAATACTTTCATTGTTAAACATTATCAAATACTTACATGAAACCACAAAATTTTCTAAAGCAAGTCTGAGAAATACATACTTGAAGGCAAACCATTTTGCATTTTAAAGAGTTATAATAATCAACACAATACAGTACTGGCATAAAAATAGATACTAACCTCCAGGACAGACAGCCCAGGAATTAATCCAAACATACAGTCAATGATCTTTTGAAAAAGATACCAAGAGGATCCATTTAGAATGTATAAACATTGTTTTAAAAACTTGAAGTTCACAAATAAAAATATGTATTTGAGTGCTTTCTTTGTACCATATAGAGAAATCAACTCAAAATAGATGAAAAGCTTAATGTAAGATCTAAGAGGGAAACAGTTTGAAAGACTATCATTGTCCTTGGCAATATTTTGGATACTACATTGATATATCAGACCCTGCAAGGAAAAATTAAAAATAGGATGACATTATACTAAAAAAGTATCTATACAACAAAGGAAACAACAAAATCAAAGCCAACCTATGACTTGGTGATGTGCATCCAGTAGTAAAGAGTTAATGTCCAAAATGCGTGAAATGCTACTATACATTAACAGAGAACATAATGTGATTCAAAAAGTAAGCAAAACGTTTGAACAGATATGCTTCCAAAGAATAAAAATGAACAAGAGTGTATTCAGTGATGTTACTGAACATTACTAATAGACAAATGCAACTCATAATCACCAGACCTCTATCATGTTAATGTAACCAATATTTTCTAAAAAGGGAAGGTTTTGGTCTGATTGTATAAAATGGAAACTACACATTGATGGTGCAAATGTATATTGGTGAAGCCATTATGGAAATCAGAAGAGGATTCCTCCAAATAAATTGAAAACTACTAGTATACCATCCATAGGTAAAATTAAGATTTTTCAGTTTAATAATTCTTCAAATAGAAAATACCAGATTCTTGAAGAAAATAACTAATACATGAATTTAGTGAAGTGACAATATAAAAATCAACATACATATCAGTATGTTTTTATAGATATAATCTGAGTAGAAGTTATTCTTATAGCATCAAACTATATTTAGCAATAAATTTGATCAAGAACGTGAAAAATCTATATGCTAAAACACAAAATACAGACAAAACACACTGAAATAAATCAGTGGAAAGATCCCATGCTTAAGGCAAGGAAGAATCATTCTAAACCAAAAGTTTTCAATTCCTATCATAATCCCAGTGGCATTTACAGCAATAGAAAACAATCTTAGAGAATTATTAAATCAAAGGTTGCTTGTTTTTCAAAAATTAACCAAAATTGTAACTGTTTAGCTGGGATGACAAACAAAAATGCAGTGAAGTTTTAATCTTTAAATCATAAATGAAAGTTTCAACATTATCACTGTTCTCACAAAATGAAACATTGTAGAAGAATACTAAGATGTTAAGAAAAATCACTTAGTTATAATCGAAAAATTCCTAGAAAAACAAACACTGATTCAGGAAGACATTAACATCATAAGCAGATGTGTAGCAATGAAAAGTTTGAATCAGCAATCAAAAACTTCCAGAAGGAGAAAGCACTAGGATTGTGTTGTTTCTTAAAATTATCACTACCTTCTCAAGCTCTTCCCAAAAATTTGAGGAAAAAGGAATATTTTGCAACACACTCTTTGATCCCAATCAACAAAAAATTAGCCCCCAAAACAGTAAACACGTGAACATCTTTAAGAAAATACTAGTAACCCCAAGTCAATGGCACATTAAAAGCAAAACCAAATGGGAGTTATATTAGGAAGTGAAAGTTGTTCATAAAAATATCAACGTATGGCTAATAATACTCAGGTTTCTACAGGGTTATATTCTAAACAAAATTATCATATGTTGAAAATGCATTTTGTACATGTAATCTGCTTTAAATTATACATTGGCTGCACAAATTAGTATGAAGTTACTGGTCAATTAGAGTCCCTTAATGCTACTGCTGAGCATCATGAGAGTACTGTACCACAAACAGTTTGTCAAGAAGATCTCAAATCAAAGTAAAGTATATTCTTGGTCTGTTTCACCTTCACATCATGATTAAGTTAAAAAGTGTCCTAGGTGAAGCACTAATTCATGAACATTCTCTACATCACGTTAATAGGATGAAGGACAAGATTCCATAGAATAATTTCAGTTGACACAGAAAGAGAAGATCAAATTCGATGATGTTAAGAGACAACCATTCAAAAATTAGTAATTGAACAGAACTTTCAAAATACGATAAATTGGATTCTTGATAAATCTATAGCAAACTTTAGACTATCAAATTTCAAGGAAGGATTCGGCCATTCCTTGTAAAACCCACATAAGTGGGAAATGTATTACCCATAATTTACTGAAAATCATAGCAGTATAGTATGCTGTCAAGTTTTGCACTTTAAATTACAAAATGTTTTATCCTTAGCGATTATGTACATGAGTAAATAATATCCAAATTTTAAAGGAAGAGTTGCTGTTGCATACAGAAAATGTCAATCGAAAACTAGAGCTAATAAAAGAATTCAGTAAAGTTGCAGGGTACCTGTTCAAACATAGCCACACACATATGCACATTTCACACAGCATCTGTCATTTTTCTATACCAGGAAAAATATTCAGGGGGAAATTTACAATTACAACTGGCAAGGACTAGATTTATCATTTATATACTACCTAAACAGAAGTTAAGAAATTAATTGAAAAGTTCTACTCTATTAATACTATAGCCTTAACAAAAATATTTCTATGAAGCACTAGGCATTGCTGGAGAACATGTTAGCTAAGAAAAGTATTATTCAAAGGGATATATTTACAATACTATTTTTTAATACAGGTGAAATGCGAAAAAAATCACATTTCTAAAGTAACACTCACAAATAGATTTGGAACTAGAAAGCAATGAAATTGTTTACCGATAAGGTTTAGTTGATGGCTTGCAGTGGAAAATGTATTAAGAGAAGCATATTTCTTTAGAAGATTGTTAATGTTCTGTGTATTTTAAAAGTTAAAGTAACTCAAGAAGTCATGGATCACTTTTGAAATGGGGAAGTGAACATCTTTTTATGAACATAGCCAAAAAGCTGGGCGCAATGGAGCATGCCAGGAGTCCCAGATACTCAGACTGCTGAGGTTGGAGGATTGCTTAAGCCCAGGCATTTGACACTAGCCTGGGAAACATACTATAACCCCGTCACTAAAATCAACCACACATACAGAGCTTTAAAAAGCAATGATAAAACTGGGTGAGAATGTCTAAAACAACCATCTGAGAACTCTGAAAATTAGAGGAAGGCATTTTACAATTTGAAATGTGTTTATTCAAGGAAAAAGTACTGTTAAATCTCTGCATGAACTTTGAGGTCCATAATAATTTCACGTGGGAATGCCTGCCTCCACCAAGCTCAGTGGCACACTGGCCTTGAGCACCATCTTCATTACTGGCAATGACTTCTAACATGTTTTTGTGCTCCATGGAAAATTCAATGCACTGTATCAAAGAAGAGTTATCTCAGTTGCACATCTGTAGAAAAAGCCACCATCAAAGAAATCCAATATTCCATTACTGGTCAAAGCAAGCAACAGACCAGCAGAAATTTTCAAAGAGATTCTTGGAGATACAGAAGATTTCACTTGCTCTCAAATAAGATCTGAGATGTCCTCTGTTATCTACTTAATCTTGGATGACTGTGAGACCTGGTGCAAGCGGAGAGTAAAACAAAGAACAGGAGTTATTAAAGTGCCTGCCTATGGAATGTATGTTCTGGTCCATACACAGACCTTCTCTTTAAAGGGTAAAAGATCACCAGATAAGATACCTAAAGCCTCTGACTAATGTTGGTCTAACCAGTCAGTTGTGCTGATGAAGGAATGACACTAAAGGAGCAAGGCTTAAACAAAGATAATTTTTAAGTACAAACCTGAGCAGATGCATTAGCAGCCTTATACTTTAGAAGAATGTAGGTATGTCATAAACAAGCAAAAGAATAAGCAAACCAGTAACAGCTGTGAAAAGGGGAAAATTAGACTCTTGCATTTCTACAATGTGTTATCCTAGGTGATCACGTCTTAACAAAATTTATTTGACATGCCAAAAAGTAGCAGTGTTGCCCTTACCAATAAAGAGCAGTGAAGAAATGATATCTAATGTGGCCAAGGCAATAATTTTAGTAAGATAAATTTTCAGAATATGTATTACATATGTATCAGAAAACTAAAGCAAACAACTTTAAAGAATGGAAGAAAACATGGCAATGATTAAGCATAGAATATTACCATATATAAATTATATTTGTAAAATTTGCATATCTTCAGTCACAAATTGCAGTAATTTAGGTGAAACCTAGTAATTTAGGTGAAATCCAGTAATTTAGGTGAAATCCTTACCAGGAAAGTCAAACAGCAAATCTATACTTGCTATAGAAAGAAAATTGGTGGTCTTAAGTACAGATCTATAAAGATGGTTTAGCCTTAAGTATAGACAAAAATGTAATACGGAAAAATAAACAGCCTTAGAAATCTGCTGGATACCACAGCAGTATGTGAAACTAAATGTATGGGTAAAGGAGTCGTGATGTGCATGTAACTGAGTCCCCAGAAGGAAGGGAAACAAAGGGCTAGATAAAACTATTTGAAGATAATTTAACCTGAAACCAATTGTTTACTTGTAAGATGCTTATTCTAACTTCCAAATTACACTGGTAAGAAAATAACTGTAAATAGCAAAAGAAATTGAACAGAGGAATTAGAATGACAGTAGAATATGCCTGTTCAACACACAGAAGGCAATACAGGAGGAAGAGGATAACAAAAGAGCCATACAAAAAATAGAAAATTTATAGTACAGAAGATGTGAATCCTACCAAATCAACAATTATAGTACTACAAATTAGACTCAATAAACTCACTGTCAAAAAACAGGATTAAAATACATATTTTCTACAATAGATACAGCCAGATGCAAAGACAGAAACAATTTGAATGTGAGCAATAGTAAAAATAAAATGTAAAGAGTAAAGGAGTAGTAAATGTAAGAGACCTTAATAGCAATAAGATAAAGCAAATTTCAGAAATCAGTTATGAACCAAGCATAGTGGCATATACCTGTAATCTCAGCATTAATGCAGGCTGAGGCAGGAAATCACAAATATGAATTCAATCTGGGCAACTCAGCAATTTAGTAAGACTTTGTCTCAAAAATCAAAAATAATTAAAATCAAATCAAATCAAATAAAAAATACTAAAAATAGCTGGGAATGTAGCTCAGTGCACAGGCCCTGAGTTTAAATCCCAGTGCTGGAGACAATGAGGGGTATTTGACAATGACAAGAGTGTTAATTTAAGGGCTGAGGGTTTAGCTTAGCGGCATAAGCACCTGCCCTGGCAAGTGCAAGATCATGAATTTGATCTGCATTACCAAAAAAAAAAAAAAAAAAAAAACAAAAAAAAAAAACATATCAATTTAAAGGGCAAATAAACCTAATTATGAACCAAAACTAAAATATATGCAGCTAATGGCAGTTCTAAAATATGTGAAAGAAAAAATGGACAGAATGGAATATACCATTAAATAAGTAATAGGAATTCTGCAGTAATATCATTCTAATAATTTATGTTCTTGATTTTTTTGCCTTTTCAATTATCAACAGTATTATTAATTATGACTGGTACTACCCCTATTATTAATATTGCTGTTACAGTATTACCAACTGCCACTGAAGAAGGAGATGTTAGGAAGTGACACTACATGGCACTGTGCTGAATGCCCTACCTTATTCTGTCATCAGGGGCTCCACAGTGGAGCTCACTTTTCAACACGAGAAGTAGAACCCATAAAGCACTAAGGTCATATAACTCAAGGTAAAAAATGTCAACCACGTATCGCAGATCTAGAAAACTTTTAACATGAAGAAAAAGTCGAAACAGAATCCTTTGCTAACAGACCTGCTTTACAATGAATACTAAAGGAAATTAGGCAGCTTCGGGTCTGGGTGGGTCTGGTTCTTGTATCTTACTTTATTAGATGGGACATGAGATTTCTTTTATCCTGATCACTTTCTAAAAGCCTTATCTCCTAGGAACATAGTATTAAGGAGTAGGATTTCAACGTACAAATTTTGAGTGAATATACTCAACCTATAATAAGTACTGACAGAGTGAAAGATACAAGAAAGTATTTGATAAAATTGATCTCAAACTAGTCAACATACTAGGCCTAGAAATAAAAATGAAATTCTAACTTATTAATAAAGGATATCTATTAAAAAAACCACAGTGAATATTGTATTGTATGTAATACAATGAAAGCTGGGTCCAGGCCATTCTGTTCATCACTGTGTAGAGATTTTCCTCACGACAAGTAGGCAGGAAAGAGACACGAAAAAGAGCTGGACTGCAAACGAAGTTGAACTCTATTGCAGATGACACAAAAATCCCAAGAAGTTCCCCCAAAATAGAACTAAATAAATGCAGCCTGTTCTCAGGATACAAGATCAATACACAAAAATCAATTATATTTTTGTGTGTTGTTTTTATGACTGTTCTGGAGGCAAAGGGCCCCACATGGTGATTCCCAGAACTTGAGCTTCCACCCTGAGCAGCTCTTGATCTTTTTAACTGTATATCCCACTGCTTCTTAGATAGTCCCCCTGGGGATTCAGGCAGGATTAAGGCCAGGGCAGCAGCCCCGGAGAGGATGAGTAAGCATTAGTAGGTGGCTTTGAGGGATTCCAGGCAGTGACCACTTTTCCTGAGTGTCTGAGTCCTAGCACATGGACATCTCCAGCAAAGTAAATTATAGTTCTATATACTGCCAGAGAACAGCCTAAAAATTAAATTAAGAAAATAATTCAATATACAGTATTATCAAAAAGAACAAATCACAAGAGTACAGATGCACTTAATGCCATAAAACTGTATGCTTAAAATTATTTATGTGGTAAATTATATTTTATGGATCTTTTATCATAATTTAAAAAACAGCATTTAGAAAGAAAATTTAATTAAAGCAGTGCTAAATTTAACCTCTGAAAATTACAAGACAAACAGAAAGTGGTCTCAGGTTCATGAATTGGGTAAGATGGCAATATTCTTCAAATTGATCTCTACAGATTGAACACAATCCTTGTCAGAATCTTAGCTGACTTCTTTTTGTCATGGCAGTTGTTAAATTTCACATGGACGTCAAAATAATCTTGAAAAAGCAAGAAGCTGTAAGACTCACATTTCCTGGGTTCCAGACTTTCTACAAAATGACAGTACTCAAGACATCGGATAGGTTAAGAAAAAGGGGAAAGAATGATAGGTCTGAAGATGAATCTATGTATCAGTGGTCTCCTGAATTTTTCTAAAGGTACACGGCAAATCCATTGCAGCAAGAATATTACTTTGAATGGATAGTTCTCCAATAACTGGATATCTACATGAAAAAAGGTATTTGGTTCTCTTGCCATATAGAAATACTCAAAATGGATTGAAGATCTAAATATTACAGATAAATTCATAGAATTTGTAGAAGATGACACAGGAGCAACTGTGTAATTATGGATTTGGCAAAGGATAGTTAGATATAACACCAAAAGCACAGGAAACAAAAGAAAAAATATATTGATGGGACTTCATTGAAATTTAAAGCTTTTATCTTTTGAAGAACATTATAGAAAAAGTAAAAAGGCAATGTACAGAGGAGATAAAATATCTGTAAATCATTTACTGATAGAAAATAGGTAAACATCTAAATTCAATTCAAAAATTAAAAAAGTTATGATTTAAAATGATGAAAAATCTGAATAGACATTTCTTCAATGAAAACATGCAATAGTCATACACACACAAGATTTGTAATCTCATTAGTTATAGGGACATATAAATCAAAACCACAGTAAGACCATTCAATACGTTCTAAAATAATTCAAAAAGAAGTGTTTATAAAATATGGATAAATTATGCAATGTTCACACATTACTAGTGGAATTTAAAGTTTTGTCCCAATGTTGGAAGATAATTTTTCAGTTCCTTTAAAATAATATATGTTCTTGCAAAAATTTGTACAAAATATTCTCATTAGCATTATTCATAATATCCAAAAGGTCATACAACCAAAATATATCAATCAAGGAATAGATAAACAAAATGTATTATATTCATAGAGTGGAATATTGTTCGGCTATAAAAGAAGGAAATATTGATATAACATTGATGAATCTTAAAAACATGCTAAGAGAAAGAAGCCAGACTTAAAAGACCACGTATCATATGATTGAACTTTTATGAAACGTACACAACATGCACAGAGACAAAGATTAGTTTCTACTTAGAGATTGGGAAGACAGAATGGGAGACTGATGATACTTAAAAGAATACTGTGTTCACTTTCCAGGTAATGAAAATGCTTTAAGGCTAGTTTCTTAATTACTTTCTTGTTGCTGAGACATAATACCCAATACACTCAAAGGAGAAAAGGTTTATTTTAGCTCACCATTCATAGAAATTTCAGTCCCTGCTCTGCTAACTGCAAATCAAGATATTATGGCAGAGAAGAAATAATTCATAGTATGCCATCAAAAAGCAGAGAGATATCAAAGGCAGAAGGAGTGAGATATACCCTTCTAGGCCATGCAACCAGTGATCTACCTTTCCCCACCACGCTTTACCTACCAAATTAATTTAGTTATAAACTCATCAGTAGACTGATTGATTGATTAGTATCACACTACCATGATCCAATCATCTACAAAAGTCCCACCTATGAGCACATCAGAGTTTGGGGGTATATCTAGATATAAACTAGAACAGCCAATTACATAGATTTCAGCATATACGAAGTGCTACTGAATTGTAGTCTTTGAATGGGTGAACTGAATGTGATATGATTTCTCAATAAAACTGCTAAAAAGAAAACAAGGGGTGGAAAAATTCAGGGTTTAGAACTAGGCAAAGATTTGTTAGACCTAACATCAAAAGTACAATCCATAAGATTTGTTCAACATTGAAAGATTTGCTCTGCAAAGGACCCTATGAAGTTGGTGGACAGGAAATTTATTGAGTGGATAAAATACGTGTAAATCACACATCTGACTTGGGATCAGAATTTGCAATAGATAGATAACATAAGGAATCTTTAAAAATCAAAAGTTTTTTAGTTTTTTAAAAATATAGTCCATTTGAAAAATAGACAAATGATGTGAACAAACATTTCATGAGTGGAAGTGAAAAAATTTCACTATTATCAGTCATTGGGAAAATATAAATTTCAACCACAGTTAGATATCACTCACTTAAAATCTATCAGAGTGAATAAAATGAGATATCAGTATATATCACCAGAATGGCCAATGTAAAATTAATGCCAACTTCAAATGCCAGTGGGGATGCAGAGGAAATGGGTCCCTCACACATTGCTGGGGGTATGGGGATACTCTGGAAAACAGTTCCATAGTTACTTATAAAACTTGATATGCAACTACTGTGCATCACAGCAATTGCATTGTGTGGCTTTTATCCTAGAGAAATGAAACGTATTCAAAAATCTGTATATGAATGTTCATGACAGCTTTATCAACATACTAGTTTATCATTGCTGTGGTAATAATGTATCACAAAGAGGGGTTTAAACCAACACATACTTTTGCTGTTACAGAGGTGAGAGTCTTAAAAAAAAAAAGTTGTGGAATCGAAACCAAAGTGACAGCAGGCTGGTTCCTTTTGAAGGTTCTAGCACAGTGGCACCTATGGCACACGTGTTCTTTTTAAGGCAAAAAATGTTATTGCATGAGTTATTTATTTTAAAGTAAACCTAAGTATTCAGGTTTAATTGTAGTGTTGGCACTTTGCGATAAATTGGTGGGTTTTGGGCATTTGTATCTAAAAGGCCTGCCATCACTGCTCTATGGAAGCATCTATTTCCTTTCTTTTTTTTAACTTCTGGACACTACCTAGGTTCTTTGGCTTGTGACGCCTTCCACAAATCACATGATTTTTTCCTTTATGGGATAACACAACTGTCTCTTCTCCTATATTCAAATCTTCCTCTTATAAGAATGCTTGTGATTATATTGTACCTACCCAGAATATCCAGAATATTTCCTTTCCTCAGTTTCCTTAAACATGTCTGCACAGAATCTTCATAACCACAGTGTTCTAAGTATTAGATCTCAGATGCTTTGAGAATCTTTATTCAGTTTTTCACAATCTACACCAGCCTTAAGTTGGGGATGACCTGTATGTTCTTAGATGAATGAGTGGTTAGATCACTCATGGTAGACCCATATGATAAAAGTCTAGCCAGCCATAAAACTGAGTAGACTGTTGGTACAGACTTAAATACAGTGCTTAGCATTTTTCTCAGTTAAAAGAGCCAATCTTGGTTCCATTTATATAACATTCTTTAAAAGGCAAAACTATAGAATTGGAGAAAAGATTAGTGGGAACCACAAGGATGAGGAGGAGGGAATTCGGTGTGGGTGTAAAAGGTCAGTGGTAGAGATCCCTGTGACAGAGATGTTCTTCATCTGTGTCTTTTGTCTGGTTGTCATACTTTACTACAGTTTTGTTCCAGCTGGGGGAACTAAGTAATGCCTGCCTGGAAAGTCTCTCTGTATTATTTCTTACAATTTCATGTGACCATATAAAAATATAAATTTTAAAAGATGTTAAAACGTAGGCAAAAGCCTGAATAGATACTTTCACTTAGAAAAATGCTGTATAACAGCAAATAAGCACATGAAACAATTATGAGAATGTGAATCAGGACCATAACTAGATAACACCATTATCTACAGTACTGTATTTTTTTCTTCTTTCAGTGCAAGGGGTGCTCTGGTTGGAAAAAATCATTATTTTACAACTATCCTAACAAAGATCCTTGCAGGGAACATCTAAATCTGGAAAGACATTTTTGATAAGGAGCAAGATACTTGCATCACCTTAAAGGATTCACCTCAGATTGTTCATTTACTGCAAGGTAAAACATAGTAACTCTATAGTGGCAAAGGAGACAGTGCCTCAACTGAATGATCCTGTAGTATTGCCATTGAGCCACCAGTGGCATGTATCTTAGGGCGCGTTCCCTGAGGAAGCTAGAACATTGCTTATGGAATCTTGCAGCTGGGAAGGCAATCGGAAAGTAATGAAGAATCATTGAATTAAAAAAAAACATCATGTGGCAGGACTGTATCTTTCAAAATTGTATCATGAAAGACAATGAGACACTGGAAATGCCAAAAGATACAAAAACAACAGTAAACATGGATTGGATATTGTAGTGAAGAAGAAGAAAACCAGTTGCACCAAAAGACATTGTTCTGTCAATGGTCAATAGTGAAAAATAAATGTACCAAAGAACTGTATGGATGTTTTACTGCAGAGGTTGATCTCTGTGCTATTGCTTTTAAAGGGGACGTCTTTATTTTTCTGAAATACACAGCAAAATGTTCCCCAGTAAAGGGTTGAAGAGTGTGCAGCTTATTCAAGTGTTAAGGAAAAAGTGCTAGGTAAGTGTACACTGAGAAAACAATTTAAAGAATAAAACAAGTAAAGCAAGATGTTCACAATGAGCCAGTAAATCTTTGTGAAGTGTACTCACTGGTGCAATTTTCCTATAGTTCAAAATTACTTCCAAATAAAATGTTTCTTTTGTATAAAATCAACAACAAACCTGAGGTGATGTTAGTTCCGGGTTCACAACTGGGGACAATTCTGCCCACCAGGGAGCATTCAGGACTATGTGGAGACATTTCCGATTGTCATAAGTGAGGGCACCATGCTGCCGGGACCCAGAGAAGGCCATGGACGCTGCTAAATATCCTGCACACTCCTTTGACAAAGAATTATCTGGTGCCAAATGTCAATGGTTCCACAGTGGAGAAGCCCTGCCCCACTTGGCTAACGAGATGGAAAATCGGCCTGCCAATACCAGCTGGCAGGGACGCCGGGAAGGGAACCCTGCCTGTGGAAATGCGAGGTCAGACAGCGTTTGAAAAAATAAAAAAAGCAATCTGGCTACAGCTATTGAAACTAATAATACACCCATCCCTGTTTTATGACCTGAATTATGTCTACCTTAAATTTGTAAGCTGAAACCCTAGTCCCAAATGTCTTTCTCAGACTATATCCAAAAGTAGACAGGACCTTTAAAGATATAATTAAGTTTAAATAGATCCAATCTGACTGGTCCCGTTATAACAACAGGAAATTTGGACACAAGGTCACCAGTGGTGTGCAAAAAAAAAAAAAAAAGTGGGAGAGAGAGAGTAGAGGAGAAATCAGAGGGCTTAGGAGTCATCTATTAACCCAGAAAAGAGGCCCCAGCAGACACTAACCCTGCTGACACGAACTCAGTTCTGATGTTTAGATTTCTGACCAGTAAACTTCTGTTGTTTAAACTGCTCAGTCTGGTATTTTCTTATAGAGACCGAGAAAACAATTACATCCTGGAGATTCATCACATAGAAATAACTGAAAGAGTCAAAGTCATCATATTCCAGTGATACATGAGTCTCCATATGTATAGCAGCTTAACTTATAATAGCTGAATCTTGGGAAATGGCCTGTGTTCCCATCAACAGAAGAGTAGATAAAGAAAAGGCAGTGTTTATACACAATAGAATACTATTCTGCCATGAAGAAGTATCAGTTTGAGGCATTTGTAGGTAAACAGATGCACTTTGAGAACATAATATTAAGGGAAATAAATCAGACACATAAGCCTAAATATGGATGGTTTCTCCTATATAAGAAGATCAAAATATAAAGAGCTTAACAGATGATCATAGGAAGCAGAGAGATCTTCAAATGGGAAACTGAGTAAGAGATGGAGGGAGAAGGTAGAAAGGGACAGAAAAAATGGAAATAGACATTTTCAAATGGGAAAGATACTAAGAGACGAAAGAGGTAGGGGTGGGAAATTCAGATGTGTTATGTACATGTAACAACTCCCCATAATAAAGACATTCATTAGGTACTGAAAACATGTACTAATAATAAATAAACAGCAAAAATAAATATAAATAAAATTCCTTGCAATAGAGGAATGTAGATTCACAGAAAGTTTTTTTTTTAAAATTGGCCTAAGCCTGTAATAAAGTGTGTTTTAAGCAATCGAGGACACCATGGTACATGCACATGAGGGAAGTTAATCAGAGAACATAATCTTAGAATGAAGTAAAACTGAAAGTAATATTGAAACGGCAGCACTGGAGAGAGTTTAGCATAATTTACTGCATAAGCAAGGTGTGGAATAACAAGTATGACAGTATCCTATGAGCTTGGAAACCAGTGATAATCTCCTACTATATATCATGTATATTTTATTTCATTATGTTTTGTGTGAGCAAAATGTGAAAGAATAAATACCAGTTTATCAATATTGGTAACAGAAGTTGGGATAGACAAAACATAACAGAGGACTATACTAAAATATATACAGTGTACTTGTCTTCAAATTAGAAAATATTTCAAAGTAAAAAAATTTAAGAAAGCTCAAAAGAACAGCCTGTAGATTTTTTAAAGGAAAAAATTAGAAAAACAATGATGCAAAATTTCAAAACAAGGTAATAGGAAAGGGCTGAGATATTTAGCTCAGCAGAGGTCCTGGGTTTGATCCCTAGTATAAAAAAAAGATAACTGGAGAGCAACAATGGTGAATACTGTGCCTATTGTTATTTTCAAAATAGTTGCTCAGATTACAAACTATTGGCCTTTAGATTTGTGGCTTGAGAAGTGGAGGAAGGTGGGATGTGGAGCTGGCTGGCAGGAGAAGAGCAAGCTCATGTTGTAGGAGACTAGGGTCAAGTTGGTGGACACTGCTGTATACAGGAGAGGCCCTTGCACGCTGTAGCTCATTTCCACAACACAGCAATCCCAGGAGTCCTAACATCATAGATAGGAAAAAAGAGACACAGAGGGGGCCGTAACTAGGGCATGGTCACAAAGGAATAAATGCTAAAGCTAGTCCGTGACCCTAAGAAGCTTGTCTCTAGGTGATGCTCTGAATGCTCCATGTATTTGCCACTCCATTTTTAGAAATGTAGTTTTAAAAAGAATTTCATTTTCTTGTTTCAGAATTGGCACATATATGAGATTAAAAAATTGGTATACAGTATAATAATGCAATAAATAGGTACTGATGTATGCTCAATCTATTTCTGTATACAATTAATCTCATATACAAATAAAACTATGTCCTACAAATAGAAAAGTATCTTCTTAACTTAGGTCTGTATAACTGTTTGTATCCCATATTCTAAATTGCACATTACAAAAATAATGATCATAGTTTTATACTTGGACACAAAGGGGCTCTTTGTTTAAAAAAACTGGAGATTACACAGGCTACATCCTTTCATTATAAACCTATTAAATTAGAAATAAATAACAGTGATACTAATTTACTGCTTAAAACTTAAGAAAGCACTTATTAAAAGAATTCTAGATTAAAGACAAAAATCAAAACATAAAATAAAAACTATCAAAATAGCAATGAAATGGGACATATTTCATACTGTTTTATATGTCATAGCTAAAGCTTCAACCAGAGGAAAATTTATAGTCTTTAAAATGCCTTTCAGTAGAAAGACTTTAAACTAAGTATTGCCCTTAATTAAATAAAAAGAAAACAAAATAAAGATAACAAGCAAAATTAAATGAACCCATATAAAAACCAAAATTGATTAACTAGAAAACAAAATAGCACAAAGGTAGAAGACAAAGCAATAAATAGAATAGCTATATCTCTTATGAGCTTCACTAAGAAAAAGGAGAAAAACTATAAAATTCAGTCAAGAAAAAAAAGCAAACATAAATTTGCTAAAAAATAAATTAGTTGCTACCAAGTTGCAACACAGTAGAAACTCTTGAAGAAATTAAATAGCAATGAATAAATTACCCCAAAACATGCAATAAACTAATTTAGAACAAATTACCATAGAACAGACCAAAAGAGACTGATGTTCTGTGTCAGGCTCATATGATTATACAACTTGGTTCTATTTAACCTTTTATGCAAAAGTAACTTTGGTGTCTTTCCAACTATTTCAGAGCACAGGACAATATAAACATTCTTTATAACATTGTATGACCATATGTATGATGGTATATTTCATATTATGCTGACCCAGAGGTGCTATCATTTCCAAAATCAGATCTCAGGCATGTTGTTTCTGGTTTTGAGGAGGCAGTTTTCATGGCTGATTCACAGACACACACACACACACACACACACACACACACACACACTCTATTTTGCTTAAGCAGAGTTTGACTGATGGGTATGTTAGTAGTTTGCAATATTTTGCTATTTAACAGTTACAGATGTCAGTATCTTGATGATGAATCATTTTGAAAATGTGTATGTGTTGAATAAGTTTCTAAAGGAATTGAAAATCATATGCATATTTGATTTTTATGGAATGTTCTTACTGGTGTCTGCTGAGACTGCATGTATTTATTCTTTCAACATCCATGGAGAGTTTTCCTGTCCCCTCACATATAGAGATCACCAACCTATTTCATATTTAATAATCAGGTAAATAAAAAAAATTACTGCTTTATTTTGGATGCCTCTTACACAACTGAGGCTGATCAGGATCTTTTCATCTTGAAGAATCACTGGCATTCCTTTTTAATAAATTGTTTCTATATTCTTTCATTGTCTTAATGTAGAACTTTATATATTGATGAATTAGCCCTATGTCTAAAATATGAGAGACAATATTTCCCCATGTTATTGTATTTAAAAATTTATTGTAACTTTTCTATCCAAAATATTTGTATTTTGTACATCACTTTAATGACTTTATTGAGGTGTAATTGACATACAGTAAACTGCATGTTTAAGTTACACAATGTGTAAATGGTCTAATGACAGATGAGCATAACCACCACCACTAAAAGTTTCCTTTGGGGCTGGGGATTTAGCTCAGTGGCATAACACCTGCCATGCAAGCAGGAGGTCATGAGTTTGATCCCTGGTACCGATAAAAAAAGCAAAAAAGCAAAACAGAGTTTCCTTTGGCCCTTCTAGACTTCCTCTGCTACCCAATCTAAAGTAATCACTGATTTTTGTTTTCAATCTAACAGAGTCTTTATTTTCTAGAGGTATACTAACAGATTGACAGTCTTTACTCCTTTTTGTCTGGCTTCTTTCCCTCACCATCTATGTTGTTGGGGTATGAATAGTTCATTCCTTTGTATTTCAGGAGTACTATTCCTTTATAGTGATACAGCACAACTTTTTTTAAAAAAATCTATTCAAATGTCTTTGTTATTTGAGTTGCTTTCAGTTTTCAGTTTCCAGTTTTCACACCATCTGTAAGTGTTGGTATGTGCGTATATCCTTATTTCTTGTAGTTCAATACCTAGGAAGAGGACAGCTGGATAGTAAGGTGGGTACACATGAAATGCTAAACTTTTCCAGAGTGGCTACACCAATT